CACACATTCCATCTGCGGTCATTTCAAAACCATTATGGTGCCATAAAACTGCCCTTGAACAATGCCACATATAAATTTAGTGATGTGAGTGGTTCAATCATATAGTCCAGTAATTTGGTGCAAAATTGACGATTTCTTAGGGCATCCATGATCAAAGTTGTGTTTTAGAATGGACCATGTGCAAAAAAAGATCCATTTATATTATAACGCATTAAGAAATAAAACATATGAAAAGTGGCAGAATAATCAGTGTGGTCATGAGACTATGCTTTATTAAAGGTCTGCTGTGGCTGCTTGGAAAAGAGGGGGGGGGGGGGTGCAGACAATGTGAGGGGGCGGGGCTTATCAGCTCCCAGTGGACACTATCACACAGCTCTCATTTATATGCTAATTTCCTCTATTAACACGTTTAACTCAACGTGTGTGCGCGTTTGTGCGTTGAGTGAGAGGTTGGAGCCAAACAAGCCTCTGCTTTCTTTCAACCCCTTTTTAAACTCTGTATTGCAGTCTCTATTCGTTTTTGGACGTGGTTGATTGTACTTTGTAAAACAGACATAAACATAGACAGAAGTATATGTCGTTAACACACACACACAGCCATACTGTGCAGATGGTGCCCCCTTGTGGACACAGCATATATGTAGCAATGCGCAAAAAAAAAACTAGTCACTCGGAAGCCGTTAACAAATCTACTGTATTTTAATTCAATGATATACTAATATAAGACAGAATTATTACACAACATGAAATGTACAGTCTTTGATATAATATTGATTTTTTATTATCATTAAATATCTCCATAATCATCCACATTATACCAAATAAAGGCTTGGCATACGTTACTTTGCAGGTAAAGAGCCTTTATCGGATACAGAGTTCACATTCAAGGTTGACCAGCTTAACTTTAACTTAACTTTTGAACGAAATTCTAATTTCCAGACTTTCACCAGTAAATGCCGTGTGTAACGAGATACAATGTTCTTCCCATGAACAGTTTCTGATGACTCATGTTTGTTTGTTCTGTTTATAGAGGAAATACTTATTTTTTCAGCAGGAAAAACACCAGACCAGACTTTTTCAACATACATATTGTTGTAATAATATTTACAAACTCTACACAAGCTTTGTGCATGCACCACACATTAACGTTTCCTCAGATCCAATGTGGACCATAGCGCCTTCTGTGGACGCAGTGCGAACTACAGGAATAATGCTTTCTGCTTAATACCAAAGCCCTTGTGATATCCTAAGGTTAAATAAACCCGCCACAGTGGTTAAACAATACCCTAAATAAAACAAAATTTGGAGAGAAATATTGAGGAATTTTCCTTAATTTTAGACTCTAATTTAGAGTATTTCTGTTCTACTTTTATTCATCTGAGGCAGGTCATTTTAGCACAAGTGTAGCACAAGCACTGATGTTGCATTCTTACATTTTTTATCAACCTGTTTTCACTTGGTGACAATGAGACATGAGGAAAATGCAAAAAATTCCACTGATTAATAGACATATTCCTATGTTTTTTATATACAGTATTATAGAACATAAATGGATTTATTCACCATTAAATTGATCAGAAAATACTGTTTACCCCAAACCAACATTTCATTTTTTGGTTGTTCTTGTGTTCTTAACATACAATCCATATCATTATTGTCCTGTAATTTAAAGAAAACAGACCCAAAAATGCAAAACTATTTTCGGGAATTTACAGAACAATATACAGAAGCATTTCCCCCAAACCCACACTGTTTGGGGGAAATGCAATAAACCAGAAAAGGTTCTCTCCTCACAGATAAAAGGCACCCAGAGGCCAAAGCAGAACTAGACCAGACCAGAGGCCAAACTGACAGTGACAACCTCAGCAAAATGTCTGAAAAGTGGCAAAAATAGTCCACTTTTTTTTTTTTAAGTTGACTAATTCTTATTTGCTCACGGAGGTAAATGAATCACCGGTATGCTTGGTGTGCATGCAACAAGTGGAAGTGCTGAAGGAATATCATCTACGAGACACTGTAATTTTAGCGGATAATTAAAACAGAAGATACACGTGTCTGTCCCTGAAGAATAAGCAGTCTGTTTGTGCCCGGTCGGCACTAGATCATGTACGAGATCGGGACAAAACCGGAACACTCCTACTTTCGAATTAATTTTAGACTAATAAGTCCTTGAGTGGTGACTGGTTAAGTTTAGGCGTCTGATTAAGATGGTTAAGGTTAGGGTTAAGGGTGGGTTGGGGTTATTTTATGGGAACGACTGGTTAAGTTTTGCCATTAATAGGTAGTTTGTTATTTTTACTTCCGCTTCCTTCTCGATTCCGTATATGATCTAGTGCTGACCGTTTGTGCCCAGAGCGAGAGGTAGTGAGGCTGCTGTAAAGGGAAGCTACCCGAGTGCTAACATCAAAGCATTATCATCGCAGTCGTGCGTGCACAGTGTGACAAAGTCAAAGCCGCAAATGGCTTGCACTATGAAAAACTCACCATTACATTTAAGTTAGAAACAGATTTACAGTCAAAACTGAGTGTTTTAAATAAATGTGTTTATGTGCACTAAAAGTTAGACTTTCTACTGTTTTTGGGTATTTTTGCAGAGAATGTTCTGGTCCGGCCCCAATGAGATCCAATTAGGTTGTATGTGGCCCCCGGACCAAATTGAGTTTGATATAAAAATTTTGAAAATGGCCGCGAGTAGCCCCTCTCGCAGGAAGATGGTGAAAAAACGCTTTTACGTATGCATTAGCTGCACGAGCCGCGTTTGGAGCGGGAGCTGTATTTGCGCATGAGTTAGATGGATCCAGCCTGATACATGGCTGAATAAATACGTTCGTTCAAAAGTCCACAGCAGATAAACTAGGCTGGTCCAAAAAAATATATATACTCCCCTTAGCTTTGACGCGCATCTGGAACGTAGCGTTGAGTCATGAACCGACAGAAGTTTAAGAGGAAAAAGGGGCCATAGGAATTGGATAATTCTGTTTCCGGATACGGCACCACCGGCACGGAGCCAGATTCCTGGCATGTCAGCGCACATGCTCTCTGACCTTTTTGAGCCGGGACCCGCCCCCACTGGTAGATACGCAATATTAATTACTTGGCCTTAATTTGTTATCAGTTGTGTTTTTTGCTTACTTCCTGTCCCAATGTCGGCCCCGCCATCATATGTGTCACCTGTGCTCAACCCCATGTGTCGTGATTCTTAGTCTTTTTCCAGGTTCTCAGCGTTGTAAGAACACGGTTAAGAATAACAGCATTTTCTCTGGTTATTGAGCATTACTTTTGTCAAGTGCCTTAACACCTAAGGTGTAATTAGCAAAGCATTGATTGTAATGCGCAGGGCGGTTAAGAGAGACAGAGGTGAGGAAAGTTTACTAGCTAATTTTTATTTTGCTGTATCTTTGTTTTCCATTTCCATGGGAACAAAGGGGAGCGGGGTCTTGCCGTAGTAAGATACCTGTTGTAAATAAATACCAAACTGCATCTCACTTAATTTTACTCACATATATGGAGGAAAAACTCTGTGGCATTTAAGCGCTAATGGGCCATCTTTGACTCCACATTTAACATCAATACAGATTGGTAAAATGCTGGAACTCCAGTGCCGACATGGAAGGTAACAGCTAAGGTAAGCAGCAGGCTCAGAGTTTTTCTCGTCTCTTGGTATTTTGTCTTCAACAGACTGTAATCTTGAGTTTTTTGTGCTATTTGTTACTCTAAAAAATGCTTTATTTAAGTGTAAAAATATTTAAGTTTGGGGCGGGCATTGTAAATTTAAATGGAGATAAGGTAAGGGTTATTGGTTAGGCACGCCTCGAGTGGAACAACATTTTAGAGAGTTCTGCAAATATTAAAAGTCCTAGGAGCTGTTTTGGTTAGTTGTACCTCACAATATGAAAACCTGCAGCTCGCAATCAATTGAGTTCATGTCCCAAGTTTAGACCAATAGTTTAATTCATTTTTAAGTTGAACCGGATGCAACAAATTAAGAGGTGCACTCAAACACAAAGTGTAGTTACTCTGGTCTCTTGTGTAACTATCGTTTCAGTGCACAGTGGATTGCAGCAGTCACAGACAGCACTGTAACTTTCACAGGGCTTTCTGTTTGTTTTTGTGTGTTTTGGGAAAATAATTTTTTGTAATTATAAATAAATAGGTTAGCAGTATTGGATGAGATAACCCTGACCCTGATGTTTCAGGGATCCACCTTTTGTCCGTTTCACATTTCACGTTTTATACCGGGAATAATTGAATTGAACCATAAATACATTTAGCACAACATCAATGTATACAGACATACTCTGAAAATATCAATACTGTGGAAATTTCCTTCTTGAAAGTGAATTAATGAAAATAAAAGATTGAAATATATATTACAGTGTGAAATACAATCTAATGGGAAAAACCTCGATGACATGACGTTTTGTTTCACTAAATTGGCTGATCTTCCGCTATTGTGTACAAATATACTGTACTCAAAAGAAATAGATTGCATACATTAAAATAAGTATCAGTATGTGGAATCGCACAGATGAAAAGAACTAACAGAAACTCCACATAGAGGTGATGAATGAACTGCAGAAATCTATTGCACAATTATTACAGTCCATTTCAGCAGGGCCAAAGTGCAGCACATTTTAGACAAATACAATCCATTTATTTAAAAGTGTTTGTATAAAAATGGCTGTAAATGACAGCAGCCTCACACACACGCTCCGGTCAGCCTCAGGAGGAGCTCCGGTCAGCCTCAGGAGGAGCTCCGGTCAGCCTCAGGAGGAGCTCCAGTCAGCCTCAGGAGGAGCTCCAGTCAGCCTCAGGAGGAGCTCCAGTCAGCCTCAGGAGGAGCTCCAGTCAGCCTCAGGAGGAGCTCCAGTCAGCCTCAGGAGGAGCTCCAGTCAGTCTCAGGAGGAGCTCCAGTCAGCCTCAGGAGGAGCTCCAGTCAGCCTCAGGAGGAGCTCCAGTCAGCCTCAGGAGGAGCTCCGGTCAGCCTCAGGAGGTCAACATCACGACTCCTTACTGCCCCAGCCAAATAGCCGCGACATGGGAGACTTTTTCTTCTTGTCCTTCTTTAAGTCTACACAAACAAACAAAAAAGACTGAGAACGCAGACCTTTGAAGCCTAATCCTGTTTAAAATGATAATGACAGAAACTCTCTTCTGGCCTGATTCCATGCCCTCCGTGTACTTCCTCAATAACATCTATGACTGCTTGAGTTTGTTGTAGTATGAGGATTACAGTTATGGTACAATTTGAAAATGGAAAACAGGTTTGTGTCGTCATTCAGAATCTCCAAAAATACAGACATAACAATGAAATCTGTGCCTGGTGTAAACTGTAGACATCTAAGACTATTTGAGGCCAACAGTTGAGAGTACTTGCTTAGGAAAAATGTGTAATACTTTTCAGAGCAGAAGAAATATCTGACAAAAGAGAGATGTCAGAAAGAGCAACACTCTTTGTGAAATGCCAGATGACCAGACATAACAGGGCGCAGGCTGAGCACATTTCATGTGACTGGCCCATAATGTCATACTGTTCAAACACTTTTTAGCAGAAGAGGAATACTTTTTGCCAATCCATCAAAAAGTTTACTATATTTCAAAAACACTTTTTAATTGTATTAAATTAGTTTCTCTGATTGAAAGTAACACTCATCCTCTCCTCTGCTCCTCGCCACTTCCCTTCTCCTACACACTTACAAACATGTGCGTGTCTAAAGTGCATTGAATGTTTGCACTTTAAAAAAAACATTCAAACCTGGAGGAAACCAAGGTTGGTTTTTGAGACCCCCCTCAAAAATTATATGTTTAATCTCTAGGAGCTTGTCTAGAGATGAAACATATAATTGTCTAGTCTTGTCTAGTTACTCCCAAACACTAATAATAAAACATTTTACTTATATGGCGGCTCATATCAACATGGATCGAGAGAGACAAGTCCAGGTTTGTATTTGTTAAGAGAACTCATTTGTAACATGGTTAAAAACTCAAAAAAGAGATTGTGCATAACATGTCCTTGAAAGAGTAGAAAAAACGGGATAATTTTGAGTCCAAACACAAATTTATAAATGTTAAGTGTAATGAGTGGGCTTTTCGTGATCACTTGGATTCCAAAAGTATTCTCTTAAACAATCGTTGGCATTCCAAACGGCTGCTTTAAAAGGGTTACATGTCATTATTATTCATCATCTTACACTAGTGTCACTCCAGCTTTTTAACTCCCCAAACAAAAGCACAGTGACCGGACAAACGCTGCAAATACATGTGCGCTCCGCCCCCGCACAGGGTTTGAGTGGCGGGTCAGAGGCGGGACATGGGCTAAAAGCACTGTTGGCGTGTTCCAGTAGGTACAAACTGAACTCCACGCAGGATTACACTGACGCTCTAACAGCTACACAACAGCTACACAACAGTGCTGGGGTGGAACAGGACACATTGTGCTTGTGGAGAGTTATACATGCTGCTTGTGTGCGTTTGAGAAAATCCCTGGGTAAAAATTGTTGGATTATTATCATTGTACTATAGTTCCGTTGCTTGCGGTTTGAAATGCAAGATATGAGCTATAAAAATACTGTCCACAAAGAACACACTGGCTAGCTTGGCTCCACATTTTCCTCTCCTTATTTTCTTTAAATACAGTATGTATTTGAATAAAAGACATTCCATATTCCCTTTTTGGGTGGTATCTCTGATTGCCCCGACCCAGAAATGGATTAAGGGGTAAAAAATGGATGGATGGATGGATGGATGGATGGACATTCCGTATTCCAATTAATTGTATTAAAAATCATGTTCATTTAAATTCACCAAACGTTTCGTAAATGTGTTTTGCCAAATTAAGCCAAATGGTAACCGTGAAAAGTGATCAAATCCTCCACAAATAGTATCCCAATTTGGCCCCTGCTGCTCCCTGGCCCCTGCTGCAGAGATAGAGCCTTGAGATGTGGTGTGAGGACTTACTGAAGCTCTCCATGAGCTGGTGGAGCTGCTCGTCCTCCTCTTCCTCTCTGAAAACAGCAGAGAGAGCACAGCGGTCACATCCTCTGCATCAATAGGGGAGCTCAAATACAGAGGGTCATGGAAAGTACATATGAGTCTATGGGCTGTACAAGAGCGTCATAGTAGCAGCGAAAGCAGTCAAAACAAAACTATGATTTGGATAAAATTAATGAAGTAGGAGCACCTCTCCTTTTCCTTTCCCTTCTTTCTCTCTTTCCAAAGTCATAACCATGGCTACAAACTTAAAAAAGGGCACGAATAGCATAGTCAACATAGTCTCAGGAGTAAACGTGTAACAGAAGTGTGGGGAAAAAGCAGAGACCTGAGGCGGTCCTGGTCCAGCCCCTCCACGATGGCGTTCCGGTCGTTCACGATGGTCACCAGTTTGTCCATGAGCTGCTTCTCCCTGCGCCGTTCCCATGATTGCTTTAAGTGATCTGTGAAGGACATGCACGAGTCAGTCAGCGCACACACACATACAGTGGCACATACCGGACAGTGGTAAGAGCATATGTATAGCCCATGCTGCCCTTCTGTTTTTTGCCACTGGATGGTGCTGTGGCTGCTGTGGCTCAGGCTCATCATGGCACCTGTTCTGGTTATTAGGACACCTGTGTTCCTTTTGATTTTGTGACAGTGTAGGTGGAGGAGCCTTTAATATTTTCCACCGTGTTGTATTGTTTGCAGTGTTTTTTCCTTTGAAAATAAATAACAAAGAACTTTAATTTTCTCCGTTTTTCTTAAGTTTTTACACGCGTGGGTCAATATCCACCACATTAGGCTGTTGCATGTTTTGGACCATACATTAGTGGAAAATGTGTGTGTGAATCCTTCTTCAGATTCATTTTATTGGCCATGTGCAGTAAAACTACATTGGAAATACATGCAAAAAGAGGTACTCTGTGTGCACCGACAGAATAAAAAGCACGATACAATGTAATATAAATACACATACACTGAATATAAAATAATAAATAATAAAAAAACAGCTGACACTGTGGCACCGATCGACAAAACAATACAAGGGGTAAAAGCAGTTTAAAAGCAGGTAAAAGCAGGAATTAAAATGCTCTGTTTAGGCACCTAACAGCCTGTGGAAAGAAGCTGTTAGCATAGCGAGATGTCTTGCATCTCAGTGACCGGTATCTTCTGCCAGAGGGAAGAAGCTGGAACATGGCTTTCCCAGGGTGGCCAGAAGAGTCACCGATGATTTTAAGAGCTTTGTTTAAAAGTCTGGATTTGTAAAGAACCTCCAGAACAGGAAGCTCACAGCCCACGGTCCTCTTTGCAGAGCGGAGCACCTTGTTTAAAGCTCTCTTTTCTTTATCTGTGATGTTTCCAAACCACACAGACACAGAACCAACAAGTAAACTTTCAATGGTGCAGCGATAAAAGTTCAGCAGAATCTTAGAGTTAGTGGTAAATTCTCTAAGTTTCCGCAGGAAGTAAAGACGCTGACGGGCTTTCTTTACGACCCGGTCAGTGTTTTTAGCCCATTTCAGGTCGTTAGACAGAGTTAAGCCCAGGAACTTGCACTCCTCTACGATCTGCACCTGGGAGTTGTCAATAACAACAGGAGTGTGAGAACTGCTATGACTGAAGTCAAAGACAAGTTCACATGTTTTTGCAGTGTTCAGCTGGAGATTGTTTACTTTACTCCACTGAAAAACATGTTCGATCTCTGCTCTAAATAACCGCGTTGACTACACTTGGACTCTTTCTTTCTCTGGACAATGGATGAGAATACCACACTGCAGAAGCGGGCCCCAAAGCCAACTCTTCGGGCCATGGAAGACTCACTTCAGAGGAAAATCAATAACAGAAGAGGGAAGCTAAGTCAACTCACAATGAAGAAGAATGAGTTGCTGCAGTTTATGGATAATGACAGTAATATTGATGTGGTGGTCGCCGCACCTCAGTCCCCGCAGCCTGTGGTCGCCGCACCTCAGTCCCCGCAGCCTGACGCCGCTCCCCAGTTCCGGCCTTCTGACGCCGCTCCCCAGTCCCCGCAGCCTGTGGTCGCCGCACCTCAGTCCCCGCAGCCTGACGCCGCTCCCCAGTTCCGGCCTTCTGACGCCGCTCCCCAGTTCCGGCCTTCTGACGCCGCTCCCCAGTTGTTCCGGCCTTCTGACGCCGCTCCCCAGTTGTTCCGGCCTTCTGACGCCGCTCCCCAGTTGTTCCGGCCTTCTGACGCCGCTCCCCAGTTGTTCCGGCCTTCTGACGCCGCACCCCAGTTGTTCCGGCCTTCTGACGCCGCACCCCAGTTGTTCCGGCCTTCTGACGCCGCACCCCAGTTGTTCCGGCCTTCTGACGCCGCTCCCCAGTTGTTCCGGCCTTCTGACGCCGCTCCCCAGTTGTTCCGGCCTTCTGACGCCGCTCCCCAGTTGTTCCGGCCTTCTGACGCCGCACCCCAGTTGTTCCGGCCTTCTGACGCCGCACCCCAGTTTGTTCCGGCCTTCTGACGCCGCACCCCAGTTGTTCCGGCCTTCTGACGCCGCACCCCAGTTGTTCCGGCCTTCTGACGCCGCACCCCAGTTGTTCCGGCCTTCTGACGCCGCACCCCAGTTGTTCCGGCCTTCTGACGCCGCACCCCAGTTGTTCCGGCCTTCTGACGCCGCACCCCAGTTGTTCCGGCCTTCTGACGCCGCACCCCAGTTGTTCCGGCCTTCTGACGCCGCACCCCAGTTGTTCCGGCCTTCTGACGCCGCACCCCAGTTGTTCCGGCCTTCTGACGCCGCACCCCAGTTGTTCCGGCCTTCTGACGCCGCACCCCAGTTGTTCCGGCCTTCTGACGCCGCACCCCAGTTGTTCCGGCCTTCTGACGCCGCACCCCAGTTGTTCCGGCCTTCTGACGCCGCACCCCAGTTGTTCCGGCCTTCTGACGCCGCACCCCAGTTGTTCCGGCCTTCCGACGCCGCACCCCAGTTGTTCCGGCCTTCCGACGCCGCACCCCAGTTGTTCCGGCCTCCCGACGCCGCACCCCAGTTGTTCCGGCCTCCCGACGCCGCTCCCCAGTTCCGGCCTCCCGACGCCGCTCCCCAGTTCCGGCCTCCCGACGCCGCTCCCCAGTTCCGGCCTCCCGACGCCGCTCCCCAGTTGTTCCGGCCTTCTGACGCCGCACCCCAGTTGTTCCGGCCTTCTGACGCCGCACCCCAGTTGTTCCGGCCTTCTGACGCCGCACCCCAGTTGTTCCGGCCTTCTGACGCCGCACCCCAGTTGTTCCGGCCTTCTGACGCCGCACCCCAGTTGTTCCGGCCTTCTGACGCCGCACCCCAGTTGTTCCGGCCTTCTGACGCCGCACCCCAGTTGTTCCGGCCTTCCGACGCCGCACCCCAGTTGTTCCGGCCTTCCGACGCCGCACCCCAGTTGTTCCGGCCTCCCGACGCCGCCCCCAGTTGTTCCGGCCTCCCGACGCCGCTCCCCAGTTCCGGCCTCCCGACGCCGCTCCCCAGTTCCGGCCTCCCGACGCCGCTCCCCAGTTCCGGCCTCCCGACGCCGCTCCCCAGTTCCGGCCTCCCGACGCCGCTCCCCAGTTCCGGCCTCCGACGCCGCCCCCAGTTGTTCCGGCCTTCTGACGCCGCACCCCAGTTGTTCCGGCCTTCTGACGCCGCACCCCAGTTGTTCCGGCCTTCTGACGCCGCACCCCAGTTGTTCCGGCCTTCTGACGCCGCACCCCAGTTGTTCCGGCCTTCTGACGCCGCACCCCAGTTGTTCCGGCCTTCTGACGCCGCACCCCAGTTGTTCCGGCCTTCCGACGCCGCACCCCAGTTGTTCCGGCCTCCCGACGCCGCACCCCAGTTGTTCCGGCCTCCCGACGCCGCTCCCCAGTTCCGGCCTCCCGACGCCGCTCCCCAGTTCCGGCCTCCCGACGCCGCTCCCCAGTTCCGGCCTCCCGACGCCGCTCCCCAGTTCCGGCCTCCCGACGCCGCTCCCCAGTTCCGGCCTCCAGACGCCGCTCCCCAGTTCCGGCCTCCCGACGCCGCTCCCCAGTTCCGGCCTCCCGACGCCGCTCCCCAGTTCCGGCCTCCCAACGCCGCTCCCCAGTTCCGGCCTCCCGACGCCGCTCCCCAGTTCCGGCCTTCCGACGCCGCTCCCCAGCTCCAGCCTTCCAACCCCTTTCCACATTCCCGGCCTTCCGTCACCCCAAGTACACGCCAGCTCGCAGGACAGCGCTACAGTGACTCCATAAGCGACCCGGCCTATTCCACAACCGGCCAAAGAGAGAATAGTCCAGACGCTCTGCTCACTGTACTTCACCGCCAAAACGACATCACAGAGTATTTGGTGAGGCAGCAGAGACTAATAACGCTGCCGCCCCAGACTATACCCATATTTAAGGGGGACCCACTGGACTTCAGACTGTTCGAGAGAGCCTTTGAACACGGAGTGGAGCATAAAACTGATAGCTATGAGGACAGACTGTACCTGCTGGACCAATACACCAGTGGACAGCCCAAGAACTTAATCCGTAGCTGCATGCATATGGAACCAGAGCTGGGGTATAGAACGGCCAAGAAGTTGCTCAAAGAACATTTTGGTCGAGACTATAATGTTGCTGTTGCTTACATCAACAAGGCCCTAGCCTGGCCCACAATCAGGCCAGATGATGGTGACGCTCTGAATGCCTTTGCATTGTTCCTCACCGGTTGCAACAATGCAGTGGCCGAGATGGACTTTGTGGAAGAAATGAACAGTGTGACAAATATGCGGTCAGTCGTCTACAAGCTGCCCTATAAGTTAAGAGAAAGGTGGCGTGGGTTTGCCTTCGACCTACAGGAAAAGCGAGACAGAAGGCCGAAGTTTAAAGACCTCGTGGACTTTGTTAATACACAAGCCAAGATGTCTCTGCATCCAATGTTTGGGGAACTGAAAGGCGGTACTTCCCAATATCCTAATCTGGCCCAGCCCGTTGCCGAGAGAAGGTCTAGGTCGACATTCACCACAGTGGCCATGCCAAGCAGTACAAATGTGGGCAACGTTGTTCCGAAAATACTGCCAATAGGACTCTCAAACCCCTCCCATTATGATGCCCATTCCAAGCCTTGTTTGTTTTGCAATGGAAATCACAATATGGCTGAATGTAGAAAAATGGGACGCTCAATGAATAAAGACAAAATAGACTTCGTAAGAGAAAAGAAGATTTGTTTTGGTTGTTTAAAACTAGGCCACATGGTCAAGCAATGTTGTGAAAGATTGAAATGTGATACATGCTTTGCACTTCATCCTACGGTTCTGCACAGCAAGAGCCATGACAGGGTAACTACAGATTTAGCACCTCCCAAAAGGCACACCATATCAAATGGGTTAGTTGGAACAAGGGGTTCAAATGGAGTTACTGGGGCCGGATTTCCAAACGTTATTTTGCCCATAGTCCCAGTCCAAGTAAAGGCAGCTAAAGGGTCCAAAGTTGTTACAACGTACGCCTTTCTTGATTCTGGTAGTACTGCCACCTTTTGCACTGAAAGACTTATGAACATGTTGAATCTACAGGGGCGTAAAACAGACATTCTTCTCGCAACAATGGGCAATAACAAAGTGGTGTCCACCCATGTTGTTTATGGTCTGGAGGTGACCAGGTTGGATGGTAACTCATACATACAACTTCCTGAGGTGTTTACTCAACAGACTATTCCAGCACAACAAACAAACATTCCTAGGCAGTGTGATGTTAATATGTGGCCTCACTTACAGGGAGTGGTGCTTCCAGAGCTCGATAGTAGGATAGAGCTTTTGATTGGTGCTGATGTTCCAATGGCAATGGAGCCGGAGGAAATCCTTAAGAGCATCAGAAACGGACCATATGCTGTGCGTACACGGTTGGGGTGGACAGTTAATGGTCCCTTACGAGACGGGCTCACATCCGACATCAGTCGGTCTGTGGCATCCAATCGCATATCTGTGGCCAGGTTGGATGACTTATGGTGTCAACAGTTTAAAATGGACTTTCCTGAAAGCAGAACAGAGGATCAATTGGACATGTCACGGGACGACCTGCAATTTATGGATAGTGTAACGCAGTCTGTAATGTAGGTTGACGGACATTACAGCATTGGCTTGCCATTAAAGAATAAAAATGTTTCCATGCCGAACAACAGAGTACTGGCAGAGCAACGAGCTTTAAACCTCAAGAGAAAATTACAAAAGAACCCCTCCTTTCATGCAGAATATGTCAAATTTATGGAGGACATGTTTGCTAAGGGTCATGCCAAGAGGGTTCCAGATAAGGACTTTATTAGACAGGACCGAAAGGTTTGGTACATCCCGCACCATGGGGTGTACCATCCCAAGAAGCGGAAGATCCGTGTCGTTTTTGATTGCGGTGAGTCTTATCAAGGGACGTCCCTCAATGAACAGCTACTTCAGTTATGTTGCGTTTTCGTCAAGAACCGGTGGCTTTAATGGCAGACATAGAAGCCATGTTCTACCAGGTCATGGTCCCAGAGGAGGATGCCGATTTGTTACGCTTCCTCTGGTGGCCTGATGGCAACTTAGAGGGGGATCTAGCAGACTTTAAGATGGTTGTCCATATCTTTGGGGCAACGTCGTCACCGAGCTGCGCAAGTTATGCTCTCAGACGATCTGCTGAGGACTGCAGAGGACTACACGACCCCGAAGCAGTTGATACCGTACTGCGAAACTTCTATGTCGATGATTGCCTCAAGTCCGTTGGTACGGAAGAGCAGGCAGTGAAGCTGCATAACGAACTTAAAGTGTATGTATGCAAGGTGGCTTTAAGTTAACAAAATGGATTTCCAACAGTCGGGCAGTTTTGGCTGCCATACCGGATGGGGAAAGAGCAAATGACATCAAGGAACTGGATCTCGATCATGATGCCCTTCCTGTTGAGAGAGCTTTAGGCATGCACTGGTGTGTACAGACTGATAGTTACACATTCAAAATCACCATGCCGGACAAACCCCCAACTAGACGTAACATTCTATCCACAGTCAGCTCTATATATGATCCGCTGGGCATGGTGTCGCCTGTTGTTCTGCAGGCCAAGAAATTGCTACAGGAGCTTTGTAGATTAAAGGTGCGCTGGGATGACATCATCCCCGGACATTTTGCGTATTTGTGGCATGAGTGGCTTGATGGCTTAAATCTATTGAGCATGTTTAAAATGTACAGGTGCTTCAAACCAGCCGCCTTTGGGGGGGTCACCTCGGCCCAGCTTCACCATTTTTGTGATGCTAGCGAGGGTGGTTATGGAGTGGTCTCATACCTACGGCAGGTGAATCAAACTAACCAGGTTCACTGCTCATTTGTCATTGGCAAAGCCAGGGTTGCCCCGCTCAAGCTCACAACCATACCGCGGTTGGAGCTCACTGCAGCAACCATGGCAGTCCGCATAGACAGACTTTTGCAGAAGGAACTTCAGCTTCCGTTAAAGGATTCTGTGTTCTGGTCTGATAGCACGGCAGTGTTGAAATACATAAACAATGAAGCCACACGATTTCGCACATTCGTAGCCAACAGAGTTGCAGAAATCCTCAGATGTAGTGGGACCCATCAATGGCGACATGTCAGCACACACCTGAATCCCGCTGACTTTGCTTCAAGGGGTCAAAAGGTGGCACAGTTCATAAAGAACATTCCATGGGTTAGAGGACCAGTTTTCTTCTACCTGCCAGAAAGTAACTGGCCACAAAGTCCAACGGGTCTTAGTGTGCTTCCCGTCACAGACCCAGAAATGAAGAAAAATGCCACTGTTAATTCGCTCACCATACAGGGCGAGCCAACAGTGATGGATCAGCTTGTGAATCACTACTCTTCCTGGTTCTGTCTTTGAAGGGCCGTTGCCTGGATCCTAAGGGTGAAGGCCTTCCTCATCAACAAGGCTAAAGGGTCTATCAAGCCACACAAGATGACTACAAGAAGCCAGACGACAAAGTCCTGCAAGCCTTCTCTGACTCTCAAGGACTTGCAAGAGGCAGAATTGGAGATTGTTCGGCACTACCAACAGCAGACTTTTCCAGACGAGCTTTCCGCTCTTGAGAGGGGTGAGAACGTCAAAAGTACCAGCCACATATACAGACTTTGTCCATTTCTTGAAGATGGTCTTCTAAAGGTGGATGGTAGGCTTGATAGGGCTGCCATGCCACATGAATGTAAACATCCATCGCTACTGGCTAAAACCCTCAGAGTGACCGAGCTTATCATTGAGGCCATACACAAGAACCTTGGCCACAGTGGACGCAATCATGTATTGTCCCAGTTGCGACAGAAGTATTGGGTGCCTCATGCTCCCTCTGTCATAAGGAGAGTCTTGTCACGATGCACTGCATGTCGACGCCTTCATGGTATCACAGGCCAGCAACAAATGGCAGCTTTGCCCAGAGACAGACTTCTTCCCGATGAGCCGCCATTCACCAGAACTGGTGTGGACTACTTTGGTCCTTTTTGAAGTGAAACGTGGAAGGTCAACAGTCAAAAGGTATGGTGTAATCTTCACCTGTTTGACCATACGGGCTGTTCATATTGAAGTTGCTAACTCATTGGACACTGATTCGTTCATAAACGCTTTGCGGCGATTTATATCAAGACGAGGCCAAGTTCAGGAGTTGAGGAGCGACAACGGGACAAACTTCGTTGGGGCTGATCGAGAGCTAAAGAGGTCACTGCAACAATGGAACAACGAAAGGATTCAAGTCACCCTACAACAAAAGGGCATTAACTGGTTGTTTAACACCCCTTCAGCCTCACACCACGGGGGCGTGTGGGAACGCTTGATTCGGTCCATTCGGGGAATCCTTAACGCCACCTTACGGACACAACCCCTGGATGAAGAAGGCCTTCAGACCTTCCTTTGTGAGGCAGAAGCCATTCTTAACAGTCGTCCTATCACTACCCCCACCAACGACCCCAATGACCTGGAGGCCCTAACTCCCAACCACCTCTTGTTGTTGAAAACCCAACCACTGCTACCTCCAGGACTTTTTGAAGGCTCGGACCTCTATGCACGACGCAGGTGGAAACAGGTCCAGTATATGGCCAACTTGTTATGGAAAAGGTGGATCAGGGAGTACCTGCCTCCAAGTGCTCCAAGTGCGTCAGAAATGGGCCGGGGTTAAAAGGAATTTTTCTGTTGGGGATGTAGTTTTACTGGTGGACGAATCGGCACCCCGTAACTCGTGGGTTATGGGCAGGATCACTCAAACCATACCAGACAGGTTTGGTCTTGTTCGTACCGTAAGGGTAAAGACCAAAACTAGCGATCTTGTCCGACCCATAACAAAGGTGTGTCTGCTGCTAGAGCACCTATAAATGAATTTAAGTTGTTTGTAATTGTTTCATTTAAAAAAAATAAAAAATAAAACACTTAGGGGCCGGAATTGTATAGCCCATGCTGCCCTTCTGTTTTTTGCCACTGGATGGTGCTGTGGCTGCTGTGGCTCAGGCTCATCATGGCACCTGTTCTGGTTATTAGGACACCTGTGTTCCTTTTGATTTTGTGACAGTGTAGGTGGAGGAGCCTTTAATATTTTCCACCGTGTTGTATTGTTTGCAGTGTTTTTTCCTTTGAAAATAAATAACAAAGAACTTTAATTTTCTCCGTTTTTCTTAAGTTTTTACACGCGTGGGTCAATATACACCACATTAGGCTGTTGCATGTTTTGGACCATACAGCATATATTGAGTACACAAAGATATGTAGCTCATTCTATTTCAGTCAAATAGAATGGTTTCTATAGTGGACGTTTGATACTGTACAATCCTAATGGCTTTAAGTGAGATTTGTAACACTCATTAACCCAAAAAAGTTACAGCAACTTATTACAGAGACATAACGTACTCAAAAGTGAATTCATAACACAATGAAAATATATTATACAATTTTTGCAGATCTGAAATAGCATCACTCTTTCTTCAGGACACACAACAGGTGTCATTATGAAAAGAAAAGGTTAGGTACCCTTAGCTCGAAGTAGAACATATTAAAGCCTATCTGATAAACACACAGCCAGATATAATCCAAATTGAACATGGCTCGGACCTGGTTTGTCCATGAGTCTGCGCAGCTCCTGTTCCACTGTGGGCTGTTCCTCCTCCAGCTCTTGTGTGCGCCCTCTGAAAACAAACACATGTCTTTGTTTAGTAAATCCTTTTCAAGTAATATGTAACTCAGGTTCTAAAAGTATCCAACTGTCAGAAAGTGCTGCTCTGGCTTGTTTGGTTGCTTGAATATAGTACCAGATACTAAACTGGTAGAGGGGAGTAGGGTAGAGTATAGTAGGGCTAGTGGAAACAAGGCCATGGGATTTACACTGGGTTATATCCATAGGCTGCTGGAGGATCGAGACGGACTGTTTATTTTATTGATTTATTTGTTTGTTTGGATAAAAAGCCCCAAGAGATGACACGTCTCATTTTCGTGGAGGTCGTCAAACTTTAATATCATTACTAAAATATGACAGTTACGCTTCACCAAAAGAAAGGACTTCTTAATGGACAAACATTCGTATTCCTCTTACTATCCCCCTAGCTCAATGAACCCCAATGGGGAAGTGCTAGGGAAGTCCCACACCACAACCAACAAAACAAACTGGAGGAAACCACTCCTAGTGTTGGTGATGGACAGGCTGAAGCGTTGCACTTGATTTCCTACCTGGACTCTTCAGTGTACCTCAACAAGTTCTCGGCTGTGAGCCAAGAGGAAGTGATCTCTGTGGTCACATCTTCTAAAGCCTCAACTTACATTTTAGATGCAATCCCGGCTTGGCTCTTTAAAGACACACTTCCTATGATAAAAGAGCCCATCTTATATAAAAACACATCTATACAATGTGGCTATGTCCCACAAGCTTTTAAAAACGAAGGTTACGTATATAACCACGGTCCTATGAATCCCGGATGACCGCTGTAATCAAACCCCTTCTGAAGAAAACAAACCTGGATTCGGAACTACTTACAAGCTATAGACCAATCTCGAACCTTACTTTCATATCTAAATTCCTGGAAAAGCTTATAACCAAACAGCTTTGCTGCCACCTGCAGGAAAATAATTTGTTTGAAGTCTTTCAATCTGGATTCAGAGCTCAACATAGCACTGAAACGGCACTAGTCAAAGTCACAAATGACTTACTACTAGCTGCTGATAATGGACAAGTGTCAGTGCTGGTCCTACTGAACCTGAGCGCTGCATTTGACACAATAGACCACAGCATTCTACTGCAGAGGCTAGAATGTGATATAGGTCTTAGAGGAACAGCCCTTGGCTGGTTTAAATCCTATTTATTGAAACAGTATCACTTTGTCAATGTGTCTAAAGTGGAATTTGGTTTGCCACAGGGAATGGTACTGGGACCGATTCTTTTCACACTCTATGCTGCCGTTAGGCTAGAATGCAGAGGCAGCCGTAAGGCAGCATCATTAAAAAGCATGGAATTAACTTCCACTGCTATGCAGATAACACACAGCTTTATCTGTTGATGAAACCAAATCAGACGGGAGGGTTTGTTGGACAGTTGGTGTCCAACAAAAAGGACCGTGGTGATGATCCAGGACACTTTAACATTCTACAACATCTATGTACATTTATCAACATGTGTTCTGTATTCTCTTAACTGTTGATTCTCTGATCTGTGTTGGTTATTTCAATGGTTTTGTTAAGTCCTCTGAGATGACTGCTGTTGTGATTTAGGGCTATACAAGAAAAAAAATTGTATTGTATTGTATTGTATTGTATTGTATAGTTTGTATTGTACATTGTAAGGAGTTGCCTGGGACACCAAACCTACTCAGACACCGGGAGAACTTGCAAACTCCACTCAGAAAGTGTCACTGCTCTCACAGACATGCAGGGATGTAGTAGTATTTACTGTATCTCACTATTGATAGAGTGACATTTTTTCTCAATCACTTTGTTTCAATAGAAGAAACTAGGTATTTATTATTTCCAGTCGTTCGGATTGTTTTCCCCACGGCAAAACAAATTGAATTACTTTTTTTTGCCCTCATCACTTGATCTGATTGATGATCCTCACTCACATGTAGACCAGCTCAGACTCGCGTCGCATGGCCACCTGCTTGTTCCTGATCAGAGAGAACCAGTCCACCATCAGGTCGTTCATCACCGCCTCGTCCTCTCCGTCTGCAACACAAACGGATAAAAATGAAAACAAGAACAAGCAAATAGACTTTTGTCTAGTGCAAAATGACAGTCTGCTTATATAATAAACATCTAATTGGAATGGTTATAATTAAATTCTCCTTAACCCTAAATCAAAACAGAGCTCGTCTTGGAGGACTTTACTATGTTGTAGATTTGCCAACAACAGATCAGAGAATCAAATAGTTCAAACACATGAAATATAATAATAAACAGATGGTAGAGTGATGACGAACAATGTGCATGAATGTCCCAAATCATCACTGTCCTTAGACCCTCCTGCATTGGCAAAGAATAACTCAAAAAAATATAAAAAATATTAATAATAATAATACCAATAGTTTGACTATAGAAATCCCCAAAACAAATTATGTTGCTTTAAAAAAGGCAGAAAACAGTTCTGAACAGGATTTCAGAAGATTCATCATTGCGTAACAAATTTGAAAAAAGGGCCAGATGGGACATGTTGGTGCCAGAAGTGTCTGATATTAGCTTGCATGGTTCTGATGAAGAACAAGAGGTAGGATGTATCCTGCGTGCACTCACGGTCTTCACTCGTCCTCAATTTCAGCTCCAGCTCCACCCCGGTCCTTTCCAGTTCGTTCATGCTCTCCTCGATCTGCTGCAGCTCCTTCAAGATCTCTGCCTGGGGGATGTGGTCCGCTTTGAACTGCTCACCAAAGAACAACACACAAACCCACAAGAACATATCACTATAATGGGGCGCTGGAGTTACATGCATATACACATCACATGACTGAACAGCTGTGGACATGAATCGTGTTTCTTGATTTGTAACATTTAAAAACATTATTTAAACTGATCATTAGTTCATTTTATGTAATTCGTATAACAGAACATTTATACAAAAAAAGCTCAAATCTGGGCTAAAATTTGTATTCGTTGTCAGTTTTCGTCATGTAGCCTTACTGTCAGGACGTCCGCATGGAAAAGGGTTGCTAAACTGCATGAGCAGCTTCAGAGAGAGTCATTCATCTTAATAGTGAAGGTCTAGACACTGGACGATTCTCAACTCTACTTACTCTGCCGACTACAGTCAAGAACCATCACAGCATCTGAGAAATCAGAAGGCCGTTGGAAACAAAAAACCTCCTCGAAGGCCTCATCTCCCTGAACACTACAGAACTGACTGTTTGGACTTTGCAAGAGAGTTCCAAACATGGTCCTGATGGTTTGCAACATTACTGGTGATAAGCAGATCCACCTAAGAATGCTACAGTGGAGGGTCTGGAAGTTACAGAGAGCACAAAGAGGTGTGGACCTACTTGTGTTCAGCTGTAAAAGCCAGTTTGTTATTTTCACTAAATTGCTTGCATGATTTTTTTCTCTTTGTTGCATAATTGGATGTGGTGGTATTATGGGACCTCAGAATCTAGCCTATTTCATCTCCACCTGAGAACATTCACCCCCGGCCCAGACTCGTGGGCTGCACCCCCCTCCCCACCTGGGAGCCACCTCAGTCCTACACTGCAAGGTCTCAGTACCTGTTCTACAGCCCAATTCTCACTTGTTCTCCCACTGGTTTTATGGAGGATCTAAGGACAGTGATAGTCCCGGACATTCAAGGACATTTATGGATATTATGGATTTTAAACTATTGTTTGTGTCTGGAATAGTGTTGATAGAGCTGAACAATATCATAACATAATAACAAAATTCCTCATTCTCTTTTGCAGAATGAGGATTATGCAAAATCCTCATTAAAGATGAGAAAGAGAATATTGTAGAATGTAGAGCCGACTCAGGGACATACTACCTTGGGGTTTTCCGGTGCAGTGGAGGAAGGACCTGGAGACAGAGAGGTCAGAGAACAGGTGAGATCTAGGTTAGAGATCAGAAAACAGTGCAGTCAGAGATCACAGAGAGGTCAGAGAACACAAAGTCAGCAGTATTTGTCATGTTAAGGTGATAGAATGACTTTGGCACGTCATAGTTTAGAATGTGAAATAATTACTATGAAAAGAGATGGCCAGAAATAGCAACACTCCCATCTAGTGCAAGAAGCGGGTACGTACTGTACATTTAGCTAGACTTGGATCTAAATCTATAATGGCATGATTGAAGGTATGTATGAAACACAATAAAAGTATAAAAATAAAATACCTTCAATATGCCATGATATATCCTAGTGTGAGGCAAGTAGTTTGAAAAAGATTTTTTGGACAGAGGTGGTTACGGGACACAATTTTTAAGATTTGTTCTTGACATAAGCATGGATGGAGCTAAAAACAGCTCATGTTTTTCATGACAAACACTAAAAATGGTTAAAACTCCAAAAAGACAATTGTGAAGAATATATATCTTTAATAATATACAAAAAGCTGGGGTGCTTTTCCAACTATTGACAGATGGATAAACAAAGTTGAAAACCTTACTGTTGTGAGGCAGGGGCGTGGGGGTGGGATGCACAGGAGCAGTTTGGGGGCGGTCTGCACACTTAGACTGGGGCGGGTCTGAGCCATTAATCCGGAGTTTGGGGGAGGCCTGGGAGGAAGAGGTAGGTCTGGACACACACAGGGGACAAAATAAGGAGGCTGTGATATGAAACACAATGAAACTGCTCGCAAAAGCAAATACCAAACACTGCAATTGTTTAAAACAAATTATTTATATTAATTAAAATGTCATTTAGACATCCAGATGATGAAGGTTGTAGGTCTGTTTTTGATCAGGAACAAAGGTGCCCTTTAACACTTGGTTTGCTTGACCATTTGGTGGATCAGAATTTTGCAGTCACTATTTCTACTTAAATCTTGGAACTGAAATCTATCTCATTATCTCAATTTATCATTGCTTGGGTTTAGGTACTTTTGCCATCAAGCTGCATCTCAACCTTTTTGTAGTGGCCTATAATACACACAAAAAACTATAAAACTAAAATTTAAACAACTATATTTTTGTTATTAATGCTACTACATCTTAAGTGAAAAAATGCATTGCTTTCTTCAAGGAGTGAACGTTAAAGGGTAAAAGCAGCCTGACCTGGGCTCCTTGGACACCGGCTTGAGGCAGGACCTCCAGTCAGACGGGGACTGGCTCTGTGCACCTGTGGACAACATGGTTTCAACATCAACAATTGGACACTCTAGCGGCTATGTGAGTGACTAGAGGTGGCAGGGGCCATTGTCCTGGGGTAGACTGACAAGTGAGGCTGCCAGTCTTCACCAGGACATCTACAACTGCAGTGTATAGTCGTTGTTAATCTGTTGAATACTAATTTATATGTAGGTGAAAGACTTTGTAAAATGTCCTGTCGAAGCAGTCAGAACTTTGGCTTATTGTACAATAGTAACTGGTACCAGAGGGGTTTGGTGATATGCTCCGTGGTGTAGGAGTTCCAGTGGAGTCTGTGGGACGGCTCCATGATGGAGGGCCTTCTGTGACATCTGTGGATTGGCTCCTGGGGGTGGGGGACAGCCTCTTGGGGTCCTGGGACGTGCTGGTGGACAGGTCTGACAGGAGGGAGGGATTAGCCCGCAACCGGACCCTTCTGGGCCCCTGCTCTTCCTTCTTAGGGCCTGCCGGGCTCGGCCTTTGATGACAGACAAGAGCTCTGTATCAGACATTGTCGCGACAAAGACCATTTCAATCATATCAGAAAAAAAGTATTTTGTCAAAAACAGCAACGGCCCCAAACCATAACTGCTCTGGAAGAAATTCGCAAAGGGGAATGGGCCAAAAGACCAGCAACAGTGGGTGAAAACCTTGTGAAGAAAACATTTGATCTATGTCATTGTCAATAATGGGTTTATAACCAAGGATTGAGATGGAATTTTGTTATTATCTGTTTAAATACTTATTTTCCATCATCATATGCAAATACATTGCAAAGAGGCTGATGAAAATTATAGGCATCTCTCATCTTTAGTGGGAGGACTTTCAGAATTGGTCCAGAGCAGATAGAGTTTCCTGCAGGGGGTGACAGTCATGGTCCAGCATAGATGTTAGTTTGCTCAGGAACCCTCCTGTCCCCCACCTGCTGCACTGTGTCCAGGGAACAGCCCAGGACTGAGCTAGACTTCCTGATGACCTTGTCCAGTTTCTTCCTGTCCCTCTCTGTGATGCTGCTGTTCCAGCAGACCACACCGTACAAGAGGCTGATGCCACCACAGAGTCATAGAAAGTCTTCAGGAGTGGCCCCATGATGAGGGCGTCTGCTCTATGTGTCCAGACCAGTTAGTGGTTCAAATGAAAACTCATGTAATGTAAGCACTTTTTTCAGTTTTCCGGCTGAAAAGGTTGTCCCCTGCAGCCTGCATGGTCAGCTCCACTGGGAGTGCATAATATAAGTACACGTGCTGTAGCCTCACCTGGGTTTGCTGACTGGCCCTTCTCTGCTGCTGCTGCTCTCCTGGATCACTTTGGAGATGTTGGCTGCAGCCGAGGCTTTGGCTGCGTACTGCTCCTGATCCTTCTTCTGCCCCCCAAACTCCTCCACCCGCAGGCTCAGACCTCCTGGTGCCTCCTTCTGTCTTCCCAACTCCTCCACACGGTGGATCCCACCTGGGCAAGCACACAAGGCACATAGCCTTCACCTGTAATGGGACTGTATGATATGTTGTCCTCTTTGTGTTTTTAACACCGAGTACCTACCTTTCAAACTACACAAAAATGTATCACTTTTCACAAGTATTTATTTTTTCCCCCTTCTGTTCTCAGCACAAAAAGTCAAATAGTGACATTCTGTCTTCAATCAGAAGACAGAAAGTTGTGGTCCGTTTCGTATACATTTACTTACTAGTTTTCTGTTGGGAACAATTAGGGCTGGGAAATATGGCAATAAAATTAAATCTTTATTTTGCTGCCCAATTTGGGTGCTTGGCTGAATGGTTTAATGAATAAAAAACATATTTGACATCCATCCCAGATGATCATAACAGTATTTACTCAAAAACATATGGACTGAGCAGCTAAAATACAGACAGCAGAAGAAAGGCGTACATTAAAAAGTGAAACAGAAAAAAACAGAAAACATTTCTTACTTAAGGTAAGGATTGCATTTGTTATTTTGTTATGCCAATCAGTTTTTGGTTAGGCCTTACCTGCTCTCTCCGCTTTGCAGTTGTCCCCCTCCGCGGTCTGGAAGAGCTCGAGGCTGGTGCTGGTTTTACTGCTAGTGGCAGGTTCAGGTTTGGTGTGCGCTCTGGAGCTGGGGCTTTTAGAAGAGCCAGAGGGCTGAGGAGAAGAGGAGCGACTGGAGGTGTGGATTCTGGGAGGTTCTGAGGTCTTTGAAGGAGGCGCTGAAGAGGGACAGGTGAATAAATGCTTTAATCTCCTGCCTTTTTCTTGAGCTATTTTTTTTTCATATTTTTCTAATTTCATTTAAACATGCTTTCATTTTTTGTTCATAATCTATTTCATAATCTTATTTTTTTACTAAAAATGTTTATTTATTTGATTTCTTATTTGTAAATTCTTTCATAATTTATCACACGTAACAATTTTCCTCATAACTTAAAAGTCCATTTTGAATATTCTCTTTATATTAATCGGGTTAACACGTTACATACGTCATTTCCATTGTGGCCATGTTGTTCCAATCTATTTTTCCTAATTTGCCTGTACACCTTACCTCCTCTCTCCTCCAAGCCACTGTCTCCATCCGCAGCCTGGAAGAACTTGAGTTTGGACTGCAGACTCTTGGAGGCGATAGAGGCCCTTGGTGCAGGGACAGGGACGTCAGTAACCGAGGGGAGAACACTGGGAGCCTTGGCTTTATGCGAGAGGACTGTGGGCTGTGGGGAAGACAAGCGAACGGAGGTGAAGGATGTGGGGGGGTTGGAGCTCTTTGGGGTGAGGCCTCTGGGAGGGTCTGGGCTCCTTGGAGTGAAGACTTTGATGGGGTCTGGGTTCCTTGGAGTGAGACCTCTGGGAGGGTTGGCGCTCTTTGAAACAGAGTGTCCAGGCTGAGGGTCCAATGAGCCGAGCTGGACACTAGGGGGAGCGCTGGCTTTGTGGGACAGCCACAAGGGGCCGGCTTTAACAGCGGGGTCTGAGGCTAGTGTCAGTCTGGAGTGAGAGGAGTCTGAGGTGAAAGGGTTTCCAGACAGAGTTCTGCAAAGAGAACACACAATAAGACAGTATCACATCATTAGTAGGGATTGTTCATTTGAATTGCTAATGTTTAAATATTCATAGGCAACAGTTCCAAAATCCATATTGAGATCATTTCTTTCCTATCTCAATGGTAATACACTTTAATTGAGCATGAATGTGCTCAATTAAATCAAACATAAATCTCATGTTTGATTTCCCACAAAGGTTTTGCCAAACACTGAAAGTTTGCAGTACAAACAGAAATCACAGAGTTCTGGGAGTGATAATTCACTGTCCACATAGAGGCTGGTTTATACCTGCATATATGGAGCCTGTCAACCAATCAAAAAGCAAGAACCTCGCCCATGTGCTGTGTATGGGCAGCGGACGTGCACCTACCCTCATATGTCACTGCAAAGCACGTCTTGGAGGAAGTAAGGGATTGTTTTGGGCTTGTCTCTGTATTTATCTGGTAATTATAAATAATGTCAATACATTTCCACTTCAGTCTCTTTTTGGTTTATTGAATATATAAAAAGAAACAACCAGATTTTCATCATAGCAGAATGATATAATTCTCAGAGGCACCAAGTCAACCCTTTTGACTGGTGGGGTGGCCATAAAGCAATCATCTTACCTCAACGCGAGACGAACACTCTTTAGGCGTATATTGCATGTTCTTGGTGGGACGGATCTTGCTAAATACTAATGGATTGGCAATATGGAAATGTCTAACTTGGTCCTGTGTGTAATCTAATTTAATATCTACTTTACATACTGTTTTGATTATGAATTAATATCTGATTTTGGATACTTTGAAATCATAGTGAGGTACGGTGAAGCCCCAGGGATCCAAGATGCCCTTTCAGGTTGATAGCCTGTGATCATTGGTGTACATGTATGGTTGCACCACAGAGGCTGATAGTGAGGCATTTCAGACACCTCTAATTCTCCCAGTCTTGCGCAGTGGTGCACTGTTTCTGGTGCTTCTGCAGGTCGAAGTCAAATTATTTGAATGTTCACCTAGGATAACTTTTCCTGGGTGGCCCTTATGAATTTCGTCAGCCGTATTGCATCTGGTTCAGCAGATGCCAAAATATATCCATGGGTATGGTTCTTACTTGGCACAGCTGCGGTGGTATAGTTTCCCGTCCACAAGGTGGCGCTGCACCAGGTGAACATGCTTGTTGCAGGACACGCACTTGTTGCTGAGCGTGCCAGTGCGAGGCTCCGCTGGGACGTCCTGCACAGAACACACCCAGAGTAAGACAAAAGATCACAGGCCCCAGACAGAACAGGGAGGAGCTGTGTGGCCCCCGCCCACGCACAGCAGCAAAGAGTACCACTCATCCATTATTGAAATAGTCAACTCATTTTGTAATTGATTCATGATTTTTTGTAATCTTCTATAAACGTGTGAGAAAAGATTTTATGGCTCAGATAAATCTATAATGACTGATCATGTTTTTACAATGTATTTTTCAACAAAAGACAAAATTTCCCTGGAGAACTTTTGCTTGAGCTTTGTTTTGGTCAAACTGAATAATCAGAAGAATAATTGAATACTAATTGATTATCAAAATACGTGTTAATTAGCGACAGTGGGTCAGTGGGGCGACAGTGGCTCAGTTGGTTGCCTTAGAGCCTGAAGGTCGTGGGTTCGAGCCCACCATGAGACCTACTTCACAACTCCCACTGTTGACTGCTGTCGTTGTGTCCTTGGGCAAGACACTTAACCCCACTTTGCCTGAAGCCCATGCTGAAAGATCAAGGCTCCTGTGTACTCACCACCTGCAGGAGGATCAGTGAGGGGCTGGTGCTCTGTGTACTGGGTGCAGCTCTGACTGCCACCCCCCCCCGACCCAGAAATGGATTAAGGGGAAGAAAATGGATGGATGGTGTTAATTAGCCACTATTCAAGAATGGTGTGCTATTTTGAATTCAGTTTGGATTAGGATCATTTAATCTCACAATCAGGTTGAAGTGCATATGGCAGACTCAACTTTAACACAGTAAAGATGATTATATTGAAGAATTAATGTCAATATTTCTTATTGACAGCAACTCATCATCAACTTCCATCCATCCATCCATTTTCTTCCCCTTAATCCATTTCTGGGTCGGGGGGGTGGCAGTCAGAGCTGCACCCAGTACACTTAGCACCAGCCCCTCACTGATCCTCCTGCAGGTGGTGAGTCCACAGGAGCTGAGATCTTTCAGTGGGAGCTTCAGGCAAAGTGGGGTTAAGTGTCTTGCCCAAGGACACAACGACAGCAGTCATCAGTGGGAGTCGTGAAGTAGGTCTTATGGTGGGCTTGAACCCACGACCTTCAGGCCCAAAGGCTCCACCAACTGAGCTACTGTCGCCCAGATTGCTTCTATCTTCACTGCTCTACTTGTATGTTTTAAAAAAAAAGATTTCTTCACAAATGTTAGTAGTATACATTTAAAACTACACAAAAGTGAGAAGTGTGGAGCCGTCTTCCACACAGATACCAGGAAAGTTACATGACCTCATGTGAACCGCACAATAAGCAGAAGAGAATTCATAATTTTCTACAATATAATATATTTATTTATTTTTCATTTTTTCTCATTCACATTGACTTGTGATATAGAAATTTGCATACGCTACAGAATCGCTTTCATGTGTAAAAATTTTTTTAATGAAAACAACTCAACATCTGTAGAGCCAGGCCCACAAAACACCTTATTTTTGGCCTCTGTCATTTTTTTGGATCAGTTTTTTCAAACAAAAAGTGGAGAAGGGTCGACAACTCTCTCTTAGCCAACTGAGAGTTAAGCAAACAGTTTCATTTTGTGCACAAATGTGCCTTCTGCTTTCACATTGGAGTGCATCCAAGCTCCAGTGAATGAAATCACAGAGCAGGAGTCTGCAGTTCTCGATGCCCAGGCCTCGGATTGTCCTGAAGTGACTCAGAGGCCTGTGTCCATGAGTGGGTCAAAAATGTTCCAGTCTCCATGGAGATGTTCATTATTATGTGTGTAGGGGAAAAACAATAGTCAGTGTAGATTGATCGTGTTTTGACACAGCTCTAGATATGGGACAGGATCTCGTAAGAATAATATCCAGCATATTTAGATTGTGCTTGGGCAATATAATGGCAGTGTAGGCTCAGACCACTCATGTCTCAGTATACATGAGTCTAGCGTCTAGTGATGCTGTCACAGACTAAGTGCATGACAGCCGGAAACTCAGGAAACCACTCAGTGCTGTTTGATATTAATCTTTTTCGCATTCAACTTAGCATCATGCAGCGTGTGGAACTTTGTGTGCATTTTATGAACACATTTTGGGACAAGAAATAGTCTTATTTGTCACCATGTTCCAACAATGGTCCTCTTTATATCTACATCCATGCTGATATCTGGATCAAACCGGCGCAAGACTCATCTCACCAACACAAGTCCTGCTGTGTTTTTGGTGAAAAATGCTGTAAAAAAAATAATAATAAGACAAGAAAAAGTGAGCCTAGAGTTGAAGTATGAGCCGAGATGAAACATAAGACGCGGACTTTGGGTCGACCTCTGAAGCCTGTCTACTTTGATGGGACTTATGCACAGAAGTGTTACCGGAACTCTCATATCTAACATATGATTATTAATGGCTCATAATCGCCGCTCCGACTGAAAGTATTTCCTGGATCTTCTGACCCCAGAGAAGAAAACTTAACTTTGTGCCTTCATTATTAATCCATGTTGTTTGTCCCAACAGAAAGAGTCTTGTTGGGACTCAATCTGCTTTTTCAGCAGATTGAAAAAGCCAATAATACATGCATGTGAAAGATAGAAGCAATCTGTTTTTGAGCCAGGAGCTATAACAATGCATAATAATAATGCATCGGTTTTATATACCACTTTTTTGGACACTCAAAGATGCTTCACATGTCACTCATGAGGGCTTTGACTTCGATATATGAATATAATATAATATACATATATTAGACAGCCCTTAATATTCGAAGTTGTAATGGGCATTATCTTTTTTGCTGAACATTTGTTTTCGATTTAGATTTTGGGGCTTTTTCACTCCCGGTGAAGTTATGAAGGTACTCATTACAGGGCTATTACAGTGAAGGTACTTATTTTCCGCTAGGCTAGCTAGGTTACTTCAAAACTAGAACTCTCTGGAACTACAAGGTGCTCCGCTCTGCAAAGAGGACTGAGCTGTGGGCTTCCTGTTCTGGAGGTTCTTTATAAATTCAGACTTCTAAACCGAGCTCTTAGAATAATCAATTTCTCTTGTGGCAGCCCTGGAAAAGCCATGTTCCAGCTTCTTCCTTCTGGCAGAAGATATCGTTCTCTGAGATGCAGGACATCTCGATATGCTGACAGCTTCTTTCCACAAGCTCAGTTTGAACAGAGCACTTAAGTGATCTCGCACTTGTATTGAAACTGTTTTAGTCTTCAAGAAAAATTAACAAAGAATTCAGAACATCAGCAGTGAGTGCCCCAAATATAAACTCAACCCAAATCCATAATCAGATCCTCTGCAAATGTGTCCTAAAATGTTCTATTAATGTTCCGGGTTCACGGTGATCGCTTTGTTGCATTAAAACAGTATTTTTGTCATGAAAAGGTTCACAGAAAATTGTGAAAAACCTCCGTGCACGTGTGTTACAAATGTATCTGTATAATGTATTCTCTGATTAACATTTAAATGTGTTGATTGTTATTTTTGTTATTGAGCGTGGCTATCTCCAATAGCTTCTCTTGCACAGGTAGAAATAGCGACAGACGCTGAAAGCCCGATGAGACTAAGTGTACGAACTACTTTCCAGAGTAATCTTAGTATTTTACAGACCTGAATTACAAGCACAGAGTGTGTTGCCAAAGGGCAGTGGTGGCCATTGATGGTTTGAGAGACCGTTATCAAGAAAAAACGTTTTGAAAATAGTGTTCTACTCCTGCTGTGAGGAGCTGTATAATAAAGCCCTATTACTCATTGACTCCATACACAGTGGTGATTAACGACTTCTGTAGCCACAGCTGCCCTGGGGCACACTGACAGGAGCTAGGAAAGCAGTACATGCCATCAGCCCCTCCGACCACCACCAACCATTCACACACACACCAGACTCATTCTAGGCAATGTGGGTGAAGTGTCTTGCCTAAGAACACAACAACAGTTTGGCACTTCACAGCCACATTTGCCTCACAGTGGCGCCTGGTGTTCCCAGAGGTCTCTCATCACAGTACTAACCAAGCCCTGCCCTGCTTAGCTTCACAGGTCAAAAGTCGAAAGTCTTTTTATTTATCCTGAGTGAGGTTCTGAGGTGAAGCAGGTAGTTTACAATCTTTAGATCACTTAATAGGAAAGGTTGTCAGATCATTTCTTTTTTTGTTGTAGAACATTCTGCTGAATCTTTTTAGTGTTGACACTGAAAGGACATAATGATAAAGACAAATGTCATAAAAATGTTGGCCTATTCAGTCCTGCCGCATTGCTCTGCACTCTGTCAGCGGATATACACCTCAATGTCTCCGTTATCAGATTGTATGAGATACATGAGATTCCACATGTAAAACGTGGACAGAGGCACCATGAGGCAACTTCCCATCTCTCACCTGTGGGCTACGGTGCCTGGTAGGGGTGGCGCTGGGAGTGGGACAGGGCTGGGTCCGGTCCACAGGGGGCTGGTTCTCCTTACTGAAACCAGGCGAGGGAAAGACTTTGGCGGACACGGCAGCGTTCTTCTTCCCTGCGGGCTGCTGCTGCTCTGGGGCGGCCTCTGCTGGACGCTTCACACCCGCCAGTCCTCCGACTGCGAATAAGTAGGATACAGATCCTTTGTTCAAATGTTGGTCAAAATGAAGGCCACGAGATATTCAGCCATACTCACTGGGGTTGCGTCCGTGGAAATAGTTGTAGTACTGGGACACGTATGTAAGGATGCTGAGGCGATCAGGCACTGCGAGGGCCACCATGTCCTCTGCGTCCAGGAGAGCCGGGATGCCCAGCTGCTGCTCCGCCACGCTGAAGGCCTGCTCCACACACCATCAAAACTATCATCCATGTATACGACCCGTTTGCACCAAAGTGCATTTTGCCATTGTTAACATTAGTCCTCTCTGATCTGTTCTTTTCAATATTAACACAATATATACTTTTATCATGAGACAAATCAAACGCAATTTTTAAGTTTTTTTAAATCAGGAAAACAACCAAACCACTAATTTTATTGTAAACATTGAATCCAAAATATAATTAGTTATGATTAAAGGTGTTTGTAAATAGGACCACAACACTTGTCCCTTTCGTTTGGGTTGTTTTGGTCTAGTTCTGGGTCAATCCAAGCATATCAGTACTCATCTTGTTCAGAATATCAAACCAAAAATGTATATAATGTATTTATGTTTATATAGCATGCTCATCTTCTTCTAAATGAACTTATTCCCATCAGTATTCATCAAGGCAAAAGCACTTCTACAATGACCTAAATGATAATCAGCAATATTGCTGTAGGGGGTGTGCCCAAGCTTCACAAACATGCAAGACTTCATATGAAACTATAGAGGGCTTGAGGGAGGGGCAAACACCTGATTAGCTTAGAGACAGTTACCAGGATGCTCATATTCGTGTAGCGCCAAAAAGCACTCTTTCACGGCGAGTAATAAAATATTGTTTGTTTACTTGTAGGCATAGTTTGTTGAGACTTTTTCATTTGATTAGACATTTTGAAGAAAATCCGTTCTCACTGTAGATTGCATTTATCAATCAATCAATCAAAGTTTATTTGTAGAGCGCCTTTCATACACATGGCAACACAAAGCGCTTCACAGTCCACATCACAAATCATCACATAAAACAAACACCAGAATCACAATTAAAACATTAAAATCACACAAAAGATTAAAACACAATTAAAACATTAAAATCACACAAAAGAATAAAACCATTAAAACTTTCAAAATTACACAAGAAATTTAAAAAAATAAATAAATGACAGCAGTGCATTAAAAATGGAGATAAAATCCTTCAGTTGTATGCACAGGCAAACAGAACAGTCTTTAACCTGGATTTGAACATTGACAGAGTAGACGCCTCCCTCACATTTTCAGGGAGATTGTTCCAGATCTTAGCTGCATGGATCTGAAACGCAGCCTCCCCATGTTTGGTTCTCACTCTGGGCACCAGCAGGAGGCCAGTCCCTGTGCTCCTCAGAGTCCGGGCTGGTTCATATGACACCAACATGTCACTAATGTATTCTGGTGCAAGGCCATGGAGAGACTTGTACACAAGCAGAGCCGTTTTAAAATCTATTCTTTGAGCCACAGGAAGCCAGTGCAAAGACCTGAGGACCGGACTAATATGGTCATACTTCCTGGTTCCTGTCAGGACTCTAGCTGCTGCATTTTGGATGTACTGCAGCTGCTTACAGGTCTGTTTGGACAGACCTGTAAGCAGGCCATTGCAGTAGTCTAGCCTGCTGGAGACAAATGCATGGACAAGAATCTCCAAGTCTGCCCTGGACACTATATTTCTAACTTTGGCAATGTTCTTCAGATGGTAAAAAGCTGTTGATGTTATTGATTTTATGTGGCTATTGAAATTTAGGTCTGAGTCCAGTATTACCCCCAAATTTCTGACCTTGTCTGAAGGAAGTAGGGAGAGAGACTGAAGTTGACAAATGACGCCCTCTCTTTGTTTCTGGGGACCAAAGACAATGATTTCGGTTTTGTCTGTATTTAGCTGGAGGAAATTATTTTGCATCCAGTCACTGATCTGTTGGATACAGTGAAGGAGCAAATCCAGTGGTCCATGTTCTCCTGCAGTCAGTGAGACATAGATCTGAGTGTCGTCAGCGTAATTGTGGTAGGACACTTTGTTTCTTTGTATTAACTGACCTAACGGCAGCATGTAGAGATTAAATAGGAGAGGTCCCAGGATCGACCCCTGTGGTACACCACAGGTCAGGGCCACATCATCTGAGACGCAGTCTCCAATCTCCACAGAGTACTTCCTATCCTCCAGGTAAGACCTAAACCAGTCTAGGGCTGTGCCAGTGACACCAGCCCAGTCCTCCAGTCTCTGCATGAGGATCTCATGGTCGACAGTGTCGAACGCGGCACTAAGATCTAACATGACCAAAACTGTGACTTTACCTGCATCAGTGTGAAGTCGAATGTCGTTTGTTACCTTCACTAGAGCGGTCTCAGTGCTGTGGTGGGGTCTAAACCCAGACTGGAACATATCAAAAGAATTATTCATTGTTAAAAATTCAGTAAGTTGTTGGGAGGCCACTTTTTCAAGAATTTTTCCAATAAATGGCAGATTCGATATGGGGCGATAATTTTGAAGTCCCGCAGGATCCAGACTGCTCTTTTTTAGGAGAGGTCTTATGACTGCTGTTTTTAGGGCCATAGGAAATGTTCCTGACGACAGAGACATGTTTACTATTTGTGTCAGTGAAGGTAACAAACTGCTCAGGACGGACTTCAGAAATTTAGAGGGCAATATATCCAGGCTACATGTGGAGGAGCTCAGACTCATGATTATCTTTTTGACAGTTTCAGTATCCACAGGTGCAAAGTGAGTTAGCTCAGAAAGCTTCTCTGGCTGTTGCATTGTTATACGTGCTGTGGAGGTGATAGTGTTTTTGATTCCTTGTACTTTGTCATCGAAAAACTGTGCGAACTCATTACACCTAGATTTAGAGGAAAATTCTAGGGGCAACTTTACAGGGGGGTTCGTTAATCTACCAACTGTTGAAAACATAACACACGAAAATTGTTACTGCAACCTCCAATAATGTCAGAAAAATACATTTCTCTTGTTCTACGTAGAACCCGGTTAAATTCACCCAACTCATCTTTAAAGATTTCATAATCGCCCTGGAAATTGGACTTTCGCCACTTCCGTTCGGCCCTCCGGCACTCTTGCTTCTGTGCCCTAACCGAGTCTGCCTTAGTCCATGGGGCCTTTTTCTTACTGGTAACTATTTTAACCGTCACAGGAGCAATGGCGTCCAGAACAGTCAGAACACTGGTGGTGACAGAGTTATACAATTCATCAACAGTAGAGCATGGAGTTTTCTCAAAATTTAGCATTCCCATGAACAGTTCACTTGTGTTTTCATGTATGTGTCTTCTTCTAACAGTTGTAAATTCAGCTGGTGGTTTGCTAGCAAAACACATGTCAAAAAATACACAGAAATGATCTGACAAAGCAACATCAACTACATTAACATTTGATACATTAACCCCCTTTGTAATTAGCAAGGTCAAGAGTGTGCCCCCTGCTGTGGGTGGGGCCACTCACGTGCTGAATGAAACCAAAGGTCTCAAATACAGAAGCCAGCTCCTTTGCATTTCTGTCATCAACATTATCAACATGTACATTAAAATCACCTGTAATAACTAAACTATCAAAATCTGTGCACACGAATGAAAGTAGTTCAGTAAAATGGTCAATAAAATCGCAACATGACTGTGGTGGCCTGTACAGGACAATGAAAAGAGTAGAAGATTGCTTTTGTTCCATTTTAAAAGAAATATACTCAAACGATGAAAAATTTCCAAGGGGCATTCTATGGGAGACAAAGTGCTCTCTAAAAACTGCAGCTATGCCTCCCCCCCTTTTGTTTTCTCGTATTTCGGATTCGAATTTAAAATTGGGTGGTGTTGCTTCTATTAGAACTGCATTTCCTGTATTTTGGTCCAGCCATGTTTCAGCCATAAGCATAAAATCAAGATCATAAGAAGTGATAAAATTATTAATTAAAAATGATTTGTTACATAGAGATCTGACATTAAGCATAGCAAGTTTAAAAATAACGTCAGAGTCGATTAATGTGGTTGATTGATTTCTACAGGGAACAGAAATTAGATTTGCAGAGTTGGACCGTCTAACTGCTGTCCTGTTTTGATTTCGTTTTTTAGAATTTAAAAACATTTTTGAGCTGGTGCGAGGAACACACACAGTCTCAATTGGCCTAAAATGTGAAAACCCTTGTTGTTCTTTAGCTCCCAGAGTCAGAAGGGAGTCAGCACAGTTCAGTGTTTGGACTGGTAATGCACTGCCAGACGGACAGGGAGCAGTGTTTTCACCGTTGTACTCACCCGGTGCTGGTGAGCAGGAGGCGGGGGAGTGCGGTGGGGTCCGAGGGGGCTCAGATGTAAACAGTCACGCCCCCCTCGGGGAACGCTGAACAACATAACGTATGTAATCCATCAACAGGCTGCTACCGTATCTGTTTGGGTGTAATCCGTCTGGACGATAGGCTTCGTAACGTTTCCAGAAAAGGGCAAAGTTATTCACAAAGACAAAGTTAAAAGAGCTGCATGTAGCCTGAAGCCACACATGCAGCGCCACAACACGACTGTAGAGGCAGTCACCTCTGTTTACAGTCTGGATTGGACCAGAAATAAAAACAGATAATCCGGAGGATTGAAGGAGGTGGAACAGATCCATAAAATGTTTCTTCGTGACTTCTGACTGCTGAAGTTTCATGTCGTTAATTCCCACATGCACGACTACCTTGGAAACGGTATCAGGCAGGGACTGAAGCAGAGGAGGGAGACGTATGAGCAAGTCTGGTACAGTAGCTCCGGGAATACAGCGAGTGACCGCGTTAAAGAAGCGGACGTGTCTCACGATGGAATCTCCAATAATCAGAGTGGTCGGGGCGAAGAGTGGCCTCGGAGAAGGAGCTCGGTGGACGGAACCAGCGGGTTCACCCGAAGCAGGACCCGAGCCTGAGCGCCGCTGAACACATGGAGAGGAGGAGCGGGGGTGCTGACTCTCAGCTACAGGCGACCCACGCTGTGTGCTCGGGGACGCTGGAGCGGTGAGAGGGGCTGGCTCTGGGCGCTGCTGCTGACCCGGTGGAGGTGAGCGGTGGTGATGATGGCTCGCTACCCCAGTCTGAGGCTGCTGCACTGGGGTCAACATGGCCGGTGGACCGCTCTTTCGCCTGAGGACTGCTTCCTTTAGGAGCGTTTTCCTCGCAGTGGACTTGGATCCTCGAGCAGTAGAGTTTGCTGCAGTGTCCAGAGGTTCTGCTGAGGGGGCCGGGATGTCAGTGGAGAGGGCTGCATAGCGGTTTGCCAGACTCAGGACATGGGCCACGGCGCAGGATGTCTCCTCGGAATCCGCGGGCTCGTTATTCGTAAGCGGGCGCTTAGGTGTAGAACAGGAGGGTCCGGAGCTGACGGATCTCTCCCACACGACAGTGTCACAATATGCAGCGCTCAGTGACATCAGCCGTGAGTGCTGCCCACCAGCGACTTCAAAAAGTTTGGATACTAGAGATTGTTTCTCATTCAACTCTGCGGTGAGACGAAGGACTTCTTTTCGTAGATCTGCAATGGTGGCACGGTCGCTCTCACGGAGCTCCAAGGTGAGGCGACTAATATTGTGCATGTTTGAGCCAATTTCATTGTCACTTTCCATGTCCTCGTTAGCTTGTGTTAGCCTCTGTGCTACTAGTGGGTTTCAGTCGGGACTAAGTGCTATTTGCTGAAACCACTGAATTAAAAAGATAAAACACTCAGATATATTAAAAAACTGAACAATAAAAACGCGCTAAAAAGTTGTTAAAAGTTTACTAAAAAGGTGCACAGAGCAGCCCTGCAGTACTGCTTACTTTGACACACCTGCATTTATTGCACATTTTTGGGATTATTGCACCAAAATACGATTCATTATGATATGGACCCACAGATTACATTTTGACCACGATCTTTGAAATCTCACTCAGATTTGAAATAATATATTTTGTGTTACATTTTGTGTTAATTTGAGGAGCTTTCACTGTGCTACTCTCAAATTATAATCAAGTAGAAACTACATTTTATCTTATATTTCCAATGGTGTATTACTGAAGCCTTCAGCACAAAGTATGCTCTTTTAACAGAGGGTTTTAGGTGGCAATGTTACACAAAAACTTCACATTCAGATGTTTCTTAATACAGTGTTTATCTAAGAGGCTGTATGAGGGAGGTATTGGGATTGTAAAAGTTGTTGTTAACTGATGTCAGTGGAGCGGAGGGGACAGGCTCAGACAGGTCAGCACAGCGCAAACTTATTTTCACTTTTATATGATATCAGGTCAAAGTCCCTCACTGACGGTACAGTCTCGACACCTTCTTTTAACCCAAGTCTGCTGCACTTTCCCCATGTGGAACTAAGTATTGTGCAAAATAGATTATCCTTAACATGCATTTTGGATTTTCGAAAATATAATTCTACTCTTGCTTCAATCATGGACTATATATCGACAATGCTAAACCCCAAGCTCAAAGAGGCCCAATAGAGAAGTGCCCACAGACAAAGTTTTGCTCCAACTTGCTCTGGCTTTTATTGACTTGCAATGATAAGTAAACTCCTCTAGCTCAGTAACAGTTTGTGTCAAAATCAATATTTATAGCTGTATGAATCCTGGGGTTGATATTGCCTTTGTAAATCCAGATATGCCGTCTCAACAACACAAGTGAAAAGTGGCTCCAACAAACTTCTGTTCAAAACGCTTAAGGCTAAGAATATTGCAATGTCACACTCAGAACACAGAAGAGGGAGCTTCGATAATGCTTAAAATACAGTCCAAATCCCTTCCCAGTTTACCTGCCTGAATACATGGTTATGAGTACATAAATAATATGGTTGTGATGTTCCTTGCTTTTGTCTTCCACACAGACGTTTGACGCTTTTGCAGCTCGCAAAAGAACTGGTGTTAAAGGGCTACATAAACAGTCGGCGGTCCAATGAGCATGTGCGGCCGGCCGTGCACTAGCGAGGCAAAAAGGGGCCGGGCCACATGATTGTTGTGAGCACAATGACCAAAGGCAGGTACACAAATTATTTTTGTATGCATTATAAATAAACGCAGAACGCAGCATGCTGACTCTCGTTCGAGTTCATACAGGAAACAACAGCAAGTGCCCCGCGGTCACGCTCGTATTCTTTTTAAACTTGAATTCCCAGAGGGCCTACCTGCTCTGTCACCATCTCACACACAAATGTGGCCGCTGCACTCTGAGTGATATTATGGGATGCATGGGCGAGTCATTCGGGACATGTGTCAAATGCGTTTTTTTTTTATGCGATAGAGACAGACAGATACTGATGCAAACCCAGTCCCTTCTTGTTGTGAAGCACCAGCGCTTACTACTGCGCCACCGTGCCGCAAAAATTACTTTGCATGTAATGAGTCTATATAATATTGTTAATAAGGATAATAATAATAAAAATAATATAAGTTGAATTACAAAAATAAATGAACTTTTGAACAATACTCTACTTTATCGGAGTTTCAGTTATTTTAGAATGAAATGTCTCATTCACAAAAACCTGGAAGTATCATATTCAATATAATCTCTAACCGTGTTAATGCTGAATATTGGTTCAGTCTGCGATAGGCCTCAGATTGTGAGACCAAACCTACAGCTCTCCATATTGAAAATCAATTTGAACTCATAAAAAGGCACTATTCAAGATTTTTCGCCCATGAATAGAGCGGTCTTACCAGTTTGTTGTTTTCGTAAACATCTTCTTTCTTCAGGGAGTCAAAGTCTCTGTAACACATCATGAAAGACTTATTTTCCACTTTTCACACATTTGATCTTGTAAAAATTGTGATTTTGATACAATTGTGATTAATTTTGAAGGCCTGTATATTTTGGTTCCAACTACATACAATTTTATTTTAAGACATTTTATGAATCTTTTTTTGACGCGTGCCTTGACTTCCTGTTACTTACAATGGCAATACAAATAATTCTGATTGTGATATTGATCACATCTACTACGACTGTAACAAGAGAATCCATGAATTGCGACTAATCGATTATTGAAATAGTTGATACCAATTTAGTAATCAATTAATATTTGTTAAGGTTTTTATAGACTTAAAACATGTGAGAAAAGATTTTACTAACTTTTAACTGAGCGGTTCTTTATCAAGGATTTTTCCAGTAAAATCAATTAGACACTCCATGTTAGATAGAAGGTTGTATCCCACTTCTACCACTAGGTGGGTGTGTTGCTCATTCTTGTCATCTTCTTTATATCACAGTAGGCAAGGCAAGTTTATTTGTATAGCACAATTTCATACACAAGCCAACTCAAAGTGCTGAACAAAATAAGATAGCATTAAAATCATAAATAGGATCACAGCTAGCAAGAACCTTAAAGTAGCAGTTATTCTGGGTATCTGTACTTTATAAAATCATGTTTTATTTTTAGCTAGAGGGGAAATGTCCAAATAAACTAAAATATTGAACGGGTTAGCCATGCTTCTAAGTTCAGGAGTGCAACTTCTGGAGCTACATTTTTTTCCAGAATTAAACTCTCAGACGGTATAAAGATTGTTAAGTGATTTACAGGAATACGAACAGTGTTCTAATAAACGCTCTGCCTAGTCCAGTGAAAATGCATTTTATTGTTAACTAAAGTAGCCTGCATATAAAGCTTGTAAATTCTTTATTCAAGTCAAGGAATGATTTCAGCAGTGGATTTTTAAAAATGTACACACAGTTCAGTTAAATATGACTTGGCTCTCCCCCTCACGCCCTGAGTCAGGGCTGAGTGAGTTCCCATCCTCTTCCCACACATATGATGCAAAATAATATTAACTGTGCTTCACCATAGACTGTATATAGATAGCTCAATGACGCCCAATAGGGAAGTGCTCATGGACAAAGTTTTTCTCCTACTCAGTCTGGCTCCTATTGAAAAGGCGACTACAGTAAGATATAATAAGATTCGTCTCATAGCGGGGATAACAGGAGGAAATAAGCTTATCACCACTGTGTGTGGAATGAATTAATAATACCATTGGTCAGATACTTGGATCTATAGCCTGTCCATTATGGCAGCAGGTCCTCAGAGGTGTCTCACTTTTTCCCAGTGGGTTTTCAAGTCGTTCCTTACCGATGCAAGAGGGTTTAAGGACAGTTGATTCTCTGATCTGTGTATCAACAACTTTGTAAAGTCCTTCAAGACGACTACAGTTGTGATTTAGGGCTAAAACATTTTAATTGAATTGACATGTGTGCTGTAAGCCACATCAAAAGGCGCTATACAAAACTGATGCATTTGAGGCCAAAATCGAAAACTAGTGATAGAGCTGTTTTAGAGGCAGAAACTATTTTATAACATAGTCGCATAGTTGTGGTTTGGAAGTTAAAAAATATGAAACATGAATAATGGTTTAGTAGACATAAACATAGAAAACATATCAGCCTTTTTAGGATTCGCCACAGCGTAACGAGTTTGAAAGAAGCGTTGAAGCAGAGGGGTTGGGGGAACGCTAATTTGCAAATTTTAAGCCGAAATGTATACTGCAGCTGATCTACAGGCTTATAAAATGTACACGTAACTATTTTTAATTGACTAGAACTTTGTCTAAACTTTCCTCGCTAACTTTTGCTCCCCGCGGGACACTGCTCCTCCTCTCCCGAACATGGAACCACAGCAGGCGGGGGAAAACAGCACGTAGCAGCAGTCCTCTCCCGGGGGTCTCTTTCATGGATCTATAGGGTCTCTACTCACATGAGCTCGGGTCTGTGGTGGTGGATGAGAGCGCAGAAAGCCAGGCCGTCCCTGAAGCTGCTGGTCATGTTGCTGATGCGGACGTCGCGGTAGCCCTCACAGCGGAGGCGACACCACTGCTGCAGGGCTTTGACCGCAGCCATGCCCGGTGAGAGGAGAGGAGAGAGCCCGGGTCCTGCTGCCTTGTGTGGGGTCCCGGGCCCGTGTGAAGAGGGGGGCTTACAGCACACGCAGAGGGCGGAGCTGAAGGGAACAGCCACTAACAGGGTTTGGGACGAGTTTGGGAAAGGTACAAGGCGAGTCAGGAGGGTTGCGTCCGAATTCAGCACGAGAATACTTCCTGCTTTCCCTCCCGTCAAAAGTACAAGTACAGTGTAGACAACAAATCATCCAGGAATTTTCACACTATCTTTCTCTCTATTATACGTATCTGCCTCTGTTGATTTATGTATTGTATCATTCATTATTTTTTATTTGTTTTGTTTTGTGTTTTGTGTAGAAAATAATTATACTTATAAGTACTAAGAATGTATGTGTTCTTTGGTATCGTAAAAGTAATACACTGATCAGTAACATAATCGATTAAATACCCCCAAATGATAAAGTGACTCAAACTTTTTTGCCACTGGAGGGCACAGGAGAGTAATTTGGAGAGTCTTTTTTAACGATCATTTAGAATGCAGATTATGCGCGATTAATACTGACTGAGTGCAGCTCTGACCAAAGTGTTTGCCAATATTGCATTTTCTGTGTTCAAACGCTTTGTTTATCTGATATTTCGTTGGCAAATAAACAACTTTGTAAAGTCCTGAGACGACTGCTGTTGTGATTTAGGGATAGTCACACAGAATTTTCTTTTGGGGAAAGAGATAATATAATATAATAATATGTGTTATTGAGAGGAAAATTTACAAATACCACTTACAGCCTTTGATTACCTGATAAAGAAAGCACATATTTATCTTCTCACCATCTATAATAACAACTGCGCAAATAATCAAAAGAACGTTTTAGATCAAACCGCAGGAGCGAATTGTTCCCTATTTAAAAATACAAAAGAAATGGCAAGGTACTGGCAATTGAATTCAGAAAACAACTGACGACTCTATCTGTGTGGGAAATTTGTTATGTAAAAAAAATACATACATGATCGTATGAATTGGGACGCAGCCCATGACGCAGCAGGAGGGCCGGGCAACGGGCGCGGCCTGGAGCGCACACGGGGCTAAAGTTTACGAAAGTGTAATTTTGTTTACATTTGTCTGTTTGATTTGTGTTACTATAATCTGTGATGTTGTAAAACAGCAGTGCACAATGTGTTTATTGAGGGGCACGTGTTGAAGCAGAGAATGGCCACAGATCAGCAGTTAAAAGTGTGAAATGTCATGTTAAAGGTATATAGGAGGGTTTTCTACTTCCGGATGGATCATCAAGACTATTGGTCCTCCCAATTGGCAATCATTCTGGTGATATGTGCTCGCCAAATAAGACCAGTATGTTACAAAAAGTAGAGAGGGCGGTTCTTTCCTAAAATACTTGTGTTGGTTTTTTTGAGGACCCTCCTGAAAACGAGATGATGCATCTCAAGAGGCTATTCCTCGTAATAAAGAAATGTATAAAGAAAAAATCAAAACATCTTTAAGTTTGTTCGCATGTTAGTTCTACGCTGTCATTCACACCCAGAGCGATTCATGCATGTTGGCTCCTGCATTTTCTCTTTTCAGCCCTTAAAATACAAGGCACACATAAAAAAGTGTTGTAAATCCTACAGCGCTCTCTGTATTCAGATGCAAACCTCTGTGACCTCTGTGCTGTGACCTCACATGAAAGCCGACAGCATGCAGTCAGAACTTCACTTCAAATCTGCGGCTGCTGTACACTGTTCTGAGAGTGATTTATGAGAACTGTGTGCACTGTTTGGACCTGCCTGTGTAAGGGTGAGGAGCTGTGGGCCTGCCTGTGTAAGGGTGAGGAGCTGTGGACCTGCCTGTGTAAGGGTGAGGAGCTGTGGGCCTGCCTGTGTAAGGGTGAGGAGCCGTGGACCTGCATGTGTAAGGGTGAGGAGCTGTAGACCTGCCTGTAAGGGTGAGGAGCCGTGGACCTGCCTGTGTAAGGGTGAGGAGCTGTGGGCCTGCCTGTGTAAGGGTGAGGAGCTGTAGACCTGCCACATGTGTAAGGGTGAGGAGCTGTAGACCTGCCACATGTGTAAGGGTGAGGAGCTGTAGACCTGCCTGTGTAAGGGTGAGGAGCTGTAGACCTGCCACATGTGTAAGGGTGAGGAGCTGTAGACCTGCCACATGTGTAAGGGTGAGGAGCTGTAGACCTGCCAGTGTAAGGGTGAGGAGCTGTGGGCCTGCCTGTGTAAGGGTGAGGAGCTGTAGACCTGCCTGTGTAAGGGTGAGGAGCTGTAGACCTGCCTGTGTAAGGGTGAGGAGCTGTAGACCTGCCTGTATAAGGGTGAGGAGCTGTAGACCTGCCACATGTGTAAGGGTGAGGAGCCGTGGACCTGCATGTGTAAGGGTGAGGAGCTGTAGACCTGCCTGTAAGGGTGAGGAGCCGTGGACCTGCCTGTGTAAGGGTGAGGAGCTGTGGGCCTGCCAGTGTAAGGGTGAGGAGCTGTGGACCTGCCAGTGTAAGGGTGAGGAGCTGTGGGCCTGCCAGTGTAAGCGTGAGGAGCTGTGGACCTGCCTGTGTAAGGGTGAGGAGCCGTGGACCTGCCTGTGTAAGGGTGAGGAGCTGTAGACCTGCCTGTATAAGGGTGAGGAGCTGTGGACCTGCCACATGTGTAAGAGGAGCCTTCTGTAACCTCTGTCAGAAAGAATAGTAGAGAGGTTGTTTTGGAGAGCAACTGTGGGTCTCTCACTCATACAGGAAGGGCCCCAGACTGCTGCTTTGACAGAGGCCTCGCTCATCTGGAACTAATGACTGCAGTGATCCTCAGCCAATCATAACATGCTAGTTTAAAGGAGACGTTCTCTTTGGTTAGTAAACCTACGCAGACACAGGGAGAACATGCAAACTCCACACGGAAAGGCAACCTCAGGATGTGGAGGCTTCCGAGCTATAGAAGAGCTTCTGAAAATATTATTCAAGAATTATCCTTGAGGAATATCTAGATGGCTGTTGCTGTCATGCCTCTGCCTTTGTGGTGCTCCCAGTGGGCCAGGACCCAAAACTGAGTCTCAAACCTTTCCTGGTAAACATTACCTCTGCCCAGGAGGAAAAGCAATTATCAGTGTTTGTGTGTTTGTCTGAGAGAAACATAAATCAATAAGTCATGAGAGGTTTAGAGGGAATGTTCAGGAAACTTGTGCAATGGCCTTTAAATTGCCATTTTCATGATATAACCTCAAATCACAACTCACTCCTAGAAGCTGCTGCTGTAATGAGAACAATGAAACACTGCACTTCATGACAGTGTGGTTCAAATATACCTGGTACCCAACGTTGATTGTTACATACATGTTGTAAAAATGAAATGTAGTTTAAAAATAAGGCAACATGCAGCCTTCATCCTATTACATGATGTTACTTCAGAGCCCTCGTCAACAATTGACACTTTTGGATTGAGCACCAATTGGCTGAGTGAGGGTGGTCCAATACACCACACTCACCTTGTCTGAAAAAGCAAATTTAAAGATGTGAAGTCGCTTTTTTCTTTTTTCGACCCAGTCAAGATTTGGATTTGGCCACAACTTTATTTCTCAGATAAAATTATTGCATGCTAAACCTTACGCTTCATTCAAACTAATAACATGTGATCAGATAACTTCTTTTTGGGACTTTCTAATATGAGGAGGAATGGAACAAAGTTTTTTTATATGCAAGATGATCTTATCTGTTGCAAAACCGTTGAAATCTGTCCCTGTTATAATAGATACTTTGAATACATTTGAGGAGATATCGGGATTCAAACTAAATGTAATTAAAAATATATTTATAATAAACTATGATTTATCCGTCCAAAAAAATATCAATTACCAAGATGCACAATACCACCACTCTGGATCACTTAAAGGTGCGTGGCAAAAGGGTTAATTTTACAGAAAAATCAATGGATCAAAGCCCAAGAAAATGTACTCTCCTCTTCTGTTTGTGTTAGTCATGGTCTTAAACAATTTAAAGTGTCACATCAACTTCACTTGTCAAAACTCAAACTCTAAAATGTTTCCCTCTGTGGATCCACTGTGACAGGTGAAAGCAGCAACCGCTCACATGTTTTGGAATTTCTCAAGCATTACGCAATATTGGAAACATTTCATTGAAAAATATGAAAACCTGACCCATTGGTCACTATATTTGGACTGAAGCTGACTGCTGTTGACTTAAAGCCACATATTGTGACGGTACTCTTCTAGCACGTCTTCTCTGACAATGTTTAAATCCAGGTAAAAACGGTTGTTTAGCTGTGCATACAACTGAGGGATTATACATTTTATATTTTTATCTTTCTTTTACAGTACTGTGATTATAATTGCAATGCTATCTTATTTTGTTCAGCACTTTTGAGTTGCCTTGTGTATGAATTGTGCTATACAAATAAACCTGTCTTGCCACGTAGATGAATCTTGTTCAACTGGGAACAGGCCACGCCCCCTGCCCACATTTTCTAGTGATGTAATGAGACCAGCACTGGTTAAGTTAAGGTATCTGCTTAAGCGAAAATTAGAAATATTTCATACAACCTTTGAATGTGTAATAGTCACTGAAATATACCCTCTCTCCCCCACATCGAAAGTTCACAATGTGAACATTCACAACGTATGAAACACTGAGGTATGTAGGCTTTATTCACATTTTTCAACAATAATCAATTTGATACATTCTTTCATGTCTAAAAAGAAAAGATTTAAAATAATTACGTAAATGTTTAAAATTGAACTATTTGAATAAAGAAAATACAAAATTATACTACACACACAAATAATTAACAATGTGGATTTTAATTCATACATAAATTAAAACCTTTAAAGACTGTAAACACCGATTTGTCATGCGTTCCACACTCACTCTGTAAAAGGCAGTTCATACAGCAGCATTAAATATTTAAAAATACACTTCTGCTTCATGTTGACCAGACACATCACGATTAAAGCAATTTTAGTCCAATTCCATCAGAACGCATATTTCTGACCACCTGACCCTGTACCATTATGTAAAATAAAATAAAAAATACAATACAGTCTTCTCCTGTGGCATTAATGTTGAGTAGTTAAACCAATGGGGAAAGGGCTCGCATGTCAATTTGTCAAAATGTTTAAAGCTTCTGGTGTGATCAGTGCAAAGTCAGACATATTTACAACACATTTTGGGATATTGCACTTAGAAGGCCAAATAAAAAAAATAAAAGAATGAAAAAATAAAATATAAACAGTAACAAGTGTGGTATTTTGTATGAGAGTGCCCCTCCTGCTGGCCAATGGGTCCATGCCATTTTACTGCCAACTGACGGTGAAGTTCTGGTTGAGGTTCAGTCCCAGATCGGCCAAATGTAGGCACTGCGGAAGAGAACAGGCTGGTCAACAAGGACCGGACAGGAGCTGGACCCTGCTCAGAGCCTAACAGTTTGGACCAAAGTTTAACCTCAAGCATAAATATTAATAAATGAACAGAAAACTGTATTTTTAAGAATGAAACAGATTTTTATCTATTGTGAGAAATACTGATTGGTGTTCCACAAGGGTCCATTTTGTCCCCTGAATCTACTTTGTATTGATGATTTCTAAAGTGTGGGATTAAACTAGACCCCTTTCCTGAAGATGTGCAGTTTAAAACAATGCTAATTAAATAGATGAAATGCTAAAATAAAAAAGGTTGAAGATCACATTTTAGGGTCCTAAGGAAAGTGCAACAATACCTTGTTGTTGTAGGTGAAAGCCACTTCAACACCGTTGACCAGGACCTGCTGTGGTTTGGACTGGAGCCCGTAGACTGAGGCAGACTCCACCGTGGTGTAGGAGGCTTCCACATGGGCATGCAGCACCGCTGAGCTCAGCACGTTCTGAAAACACACGTGTATATACACATATACATTATATACACACACACACAGACACACACACACACACACACATATATACATTTTATTAATTTTGTAGTTCAGCAGATCCAAGTTTTTTTATGATCATAAATTGCTAGAATTAGGAGTGCATTATCCCTCTAAATAATTGAGGCATCCAAAATGTACGTCTCCTCCTAATGCGCAGGAGCCACACCTCCCGTCCAAGCCTCTTCTGTGTGACTGAGCTCCTACCCCCCTCTCTGAGGGCGCTTTGTCCTTTGGGTAAGTCCTCATGGGGAAAAATTATGAGCGGTGGACTCTAATGGATCAGAATGTCACGGATCAAAATTTGGCAGTTAACTTTAGATGCTACACTTTAAAAAGATATGTGAGGCATTTCTGTCCTCATTATGGCAACAACATGGCAATTTTTTTAAATCTGTATGTTGAACCGACATTTTGTGGGAAATTTCAGACACTTTCAACAGATGTTTTGCTCTTAATACATTTTGGATCACTCTGGCAGGACCCAGGCCGAACAGCTCTGAATATGCAAGAGCTTAACGTTTCATCTGGGATCATTGCAGTGTGATTTACAGATGTGGAAGAAACGCACACAGTACCTGGCGCACGCTGAAGAGCACATATGCATACTGCTGCTCCTCATACGTGTGCAGGCTCTCCCCATCGTCCCAGAACAGCTCTCCGGATGCAGAGGCATCCTCACTCAGCGCGCACAGTAGGTGCAGGGGCTGCCTACGGCTCACCCACAAAGTCACGTTTGGCCTCTGCAACACACACAGACAGAACTATCACAGGCTGCTGTCGACATCATTATTGGCAGTTATCTTTTCTATGCACTGCCAAACACTGACATGTGTGTGACTCAGGAGTGGACCATTTCCTGTCCTCTCAGGCTGATTCTGCTGGTTCACAATGCAGCAGAAATGGGGTTGTACAAAACCAACAACTGAAATAATAAGTTTAAATTGACAAAGTATCCATTTACCTAGCTAAAAGCAGTAAGGAGCATTAGAGTCAAAAGCCAACATAAAATACATGTCTCAAAACGGGTTTTCTTCAATTAATGGTTCACACTCCTTTTCTCAGCTTTTTCAACCAGCTCTCCACTCAAAGCGTCAAATAATGACTCACAAGGCTTTCTTATGCTTGTGCAAAATAAATTGTTTTCTAATAAGCTATTTTGGTCCATATCAATTAATATTGTACAAAATTCTATACAACATTTAAATCATGTTTGTCCCAAAGTTAGGTACTTTAATCTCTTGTTAATGTACGATTACATATTAGCACAGAACCATGTAACCTCAATGCAAAGTTATTTTATTAAATAACTTTGCATTGAGGTTACATGCAAAGTTATTTTATTAAATACCGGAAACATATTGTTAAATGCAAATATACATTTCTATGGGGAAAATAAATTATCACAATGTATATTTTGTTATCACATATGCACATGGAGTATGGGTTGGTGTGCGTGCCTGCGCCCTGCCTGCTTGCCTGTGGTGTGCGTGTCCGTGGTGCGTGTGTAGTGACCTGTGTGGGGGTGATGCTGCCCTCTCTCAGATGCAGGTTGATCTTGTCCAGAGGAGCAGACAGACTCATGTTCTGCCCAGCGCTCAGGAAACTGTCCCCCTGTAGACCATCAGGGACAGACAAACTGATGACATTATATAGGCGGTTATGGAAAACCATGGACACCAAGACATCCAGTGTTGTTTGTTTTGTTTTTATACAGCTCATCCATTGCAATTTGTTTGTGAAAGTACTATTCTAATATAGGTTCTAGATAGAATAAAAACTGGACCAAAGTCAACATGGCTTATGAATTGCATTTTTGGATACGTTTACAAAAACCATAATCAATCGACGTTAAGAAATCTGTACAAATATTTGTTTAAAGTAATAAAAAATACAAGCCCAATTTCCTTGCAGCTGCGAGAGATTGGCCGATTTTCCACAAAAATTTGCATTTGGTAAGGGTCTTTACATGTTCCTGCATATAATAATACAGAACATCCTACCCTTCATCTCCAAGTGGTTTTCCCCTCATTTAATTATAAGGACGATGTAATGTTAAATAAGTACTATTTGAACTAAATCAATGACAATCTGTAGAATACGCTTAGTTCTTATACACTTTTGTTTATCCATGACCTCTCAATCTGAAGACCTAAATTATTTCACAAGATTGAAAAGGAGCATTTTGACAGAAGAGGGACAGCGTTGGAACAAAAAAAAAAATGATACATTTGTATAACTTGTGTTAAAGTAAAATGCATAGAGAGGGGCTGGGTGGTGGGTGCGCTCTCACCGTGTAATAGTTGTACCAGCGGCCCGCCGGGAAGTAGCCCTCCACAGAGTCCACAGCAGGCAACAGCACCGGGGTCACCAGTAAGTCCCGGCCCCACAGGAACTGCCGGTCTAGGGCATAGGTGTGCGGGTCATGGGGGAACCTGAGGACAGATCATTCTGCATCAGCAATTCCTCCCGCCGTGAGCTCTTTCACATCCAAGCTCCACCTGAGCCCCGTCCCAGCTCAGGGATGAATACATGGATTTTCACACAAACACAACTTATCCATGTATACTCTCAAAATCCATTTAGTCTCACACACAAATTTATGCAAGGAAAAACAACTCTTATTTCATGTTTTCTGAACATTGTAGTGAGCTGCTGTCGTTTAAGCCACATTCAAATACACGAGTAAAAGGGGTTTGGGGCTTCAAACCCCACATCCCTTTTACTCAATTGTTGTAACGTAATATTGTTAAGCTCATTTTTAGAAATAAAGATTGCATGGCCTCCTGTCCAGTCTTGATCTAAAATATTGTGACAGAGAAGTGAAAGGGAGAGGACCACCCTCACTCAGCCATCACTTCTTTCAGATCAGCTTTTTCAGGCCAAAAATAAATTAAGGTAAACGAGACCTCAGGTTGCCCCTTATTACAATAAAGTATGTGCAGAGGTGTGTGCGTGCATATGTAGCCGCATGTGTGAGTGCGTGAGTAGGTGTTACTTAGCACTGACTCGAACATGAGCGGGCGGGCCACCGTGTGCCCCTGCACATGCGCCTGGTGGAAGAGCGTGTAGAGCAGAGGGAAGAGAGAGTACCGCAGCAGCAGGGCCGACTGCATGGCAGCGCGGGCAGAGGGGCTGAAGGCCAAAGGGTCCTGGGCCTGGACGCACACACAACAGGGTGGTCATCTTGCGTCTAGTGTGTCGTTGTGCAAGTGTATAGTGGTCACCTTAGTGCCCAGTGTGTTGTAAAGAGTGGAGTGGTCACCTTACTGTCCAGAGCGTTGTGGTTGCGGCTGAAGGGGTAGAATGCTCCGAGCTGGGTCCATCGCACACATAGCTCCTCGTCCGTCTGCTCGCTGAAGCCACACACGTCAGCCCCCACCAGAGGCATGCCAAAGATGTTGAAACTCAGGATGCCTGACAACGCACATTTTGGGGAGAAAAAAAAAAAATGAGGGGCAGCAAAAATGGGAAACTTATCTTAACGTCTATCAAGTAGAAATAGAGTGTGAAAAAAAAAAAAAAGTCAGAGGGGACCTAGAGCATGGGTGTCAAAGTCAAGGCCCTGATATGGCCCACAAATGAATGATCTTGGCCCCCGGGATGATATTGGATCAGTATTAGAACTGGCACCACAGAGCAATAATAAATTGTGAATGTTTCAGGACATGCATTTTCTCTGGTTTTGATTGTGAGCCTATTGAAAAATGTTTTCACTTGTAATTACTGAAAGAGCCACATAGAAATAAAAGATTATAAATTTAATCATTAAATAAAACACAGTACACCATGTTAGGTCTTGGTTCCATAGGTTATATGCATCATTTTAATTTGTTTTTATAAACATTGAACCAGTCCGGCCCTCGGCTTGTAGCACATTTGTTTTTTGGCCCTATGATGTATTTGACTTTATCATCACTGACCTAGAGTAAGTCCATCTAGTGGTAGAAGATGGAAATTACATTATGAACACTTTATATATTCCAACTCAATAGTGCTAGTTCATTCTGGTTTTGCCAATTATGGATTTAGAGGCAGATTTTTCCCCTCAAATGTATGGATTGTAAAATTGAATAGATTTACCAAATCAGAGTTGAGAGGCTGTTCAGAGCTTTGATGACAGAGCTTAAAGGAGCAATATGTAAAAATCTGGCCAAAAGTGGTACTGCAGTCACAGTCAATATTTTGTAGTCCTCTCCCACTCTCCCTGACTCAGGTTGCCAGATTCACACCAAATCCAGCAGCAAACACAGGGAATTATTTTATCAGTTGTTTGTCCGTCTCCATTCACATTGCCATGACAGCCGTGCTAATGCTGAATGAATGTTTTGATTAATGTTTTTTTATTATTATTTGGACATTTGAGATAAAAAACAAAAACAAAATAAAAGCAATGTAATTATACATAGTTTATGCAAAATAAATAAGAAATTTATGTCCAAAATAGGAGTGGGAAGAATGGATGTTGGAACGTATTTCTTCAGCGTATCAACATCAGGGTTTGCTCAAGAGGATATCACCTTTCAATTTTATTTATTCCCTATTTTTTAGACAAACATGTAAAAGTCCCACATCAAAAAGAGACTAACATTATTTTAATTGGGGTACATGTGGTCTTAAATGATTATTTTTACAATTAAGCTATAATCTGCAAAAAAACGTCTTGACCTTCATCTTTTACCGTTTTTAGAGCAATCTGTCATAGAATGTGATCACATGCAATAAATACAAAAAGACATAGCCCGGAATCGAACCCGGGTTCCTGCATCGTAAGCGCGCAGCTTAGACCGCTAGGCCACCGGTTCACACGAACAGAGATACTGTGAAGAACGCAATCAAACTAGAAAATTCTGCATCACACGTGAACTTTTATCAGCTGTCTCAATTGTTCAAAGGCATCCCGATATAAATCCTCGTTTTAGTCTTTGTTTTGTCATTAATTATTTGAGAGTCATAACAAGACCTTTTTTAGTTCTACGCCACATGTTATTTTACCACTGAGATTAATGAGCCGCGCGGAGTTCTGGCAACTCGATCACGGACTTACATGACACTTCCTGATTGGCGAAACGGCGGAGGGTAGGACATCAAAATCAAAACAATAACAACTTTTACGGGTCGTAAAACTAATTTTGATGATCAAATATCTCGGCTGAACTACTGTTATCAGTTAAAGATGAATTCGAAAAGAGTATGATTTAATAACGCCTTTTGAAATATTCGGGTCATTTAATGATGACTTGACATGCAAATATTACATATTGCTCCTTTAACCAATTGAAAGTCAATTAGTTAGGTTGAGTACCCAACTTTTTTCAATACATCCACAACATGCCATTACCTAAACAGTACTTTGTTCAGATCTGCTTTTGATAATCTTTTCTTATAACATTTTCTAGAGATGGGATTTAGCGCAAAAATGTGTGAAAACAGTTTTTAAGAGCAACAAACAAGTTAGTTACTTTGGTTTTTTTTCCACATACTTTGGCCATTTGTGTGTGGTTTCAAAGCCAAGTACTCAAACATACGTAATCTTGACAACATCTTGAATATATGACTACTAAAAGACTACTTTGAAACAGATGAACTGATAATTCTATCCAATTCAGTCTCTAGCCGATGTCTGCCGTGCAGTGTTCTGGAAGCCACACCTGCGATGGAGGCGGCCATGTCCTTCCACTGGCTGCGGTTGTCTCCAAGCCAGTGTCCAGAGTATTGCCCCTGTCCTGGGAAGGAGGAGCGTGAGATGATGAAGGGCCGTTTCCCCAGGAGCCGAGTCAGAGCACTGCAGAGTAACACCATAAAATACCAAAGCTTAATCTATTTCTATAATACAACTTAAAACTAATACATTAGATTTAACTCATGGCATTCAAAGTGACATAATACGGCATATTATGATTTACAGATTGCACAATACTTTGATCTTGGGAGATTTAGACGTTTGCGATTTTATCCAAGAGACTATATTCTTGGCTCAAAGTGTCACACGGTTATCTGCTTGACCAATCAAGTTTCGTTTCCACCGCAGGTACTTTGAGGTAATTTTCCAGGGCCAGCCCCGTTGGTGCGCGTCTCCACTCCAGGAACCTCCCCCACAGTGCCATTTTCAGGAACCTTTGCAGGAACCAACGAACAACCTCCTCCATGCTGGGGCTTGAGGACGTTTAACCCAGCGCTGATTGGCTAAAGCTAGAGCAGGCTCTGATGCCAGCAGAAATACCAAAACTGCCAGCATTTAAACAAATCCAGCAGCATTAGTCGAGAAGCCTAGCAGACACCACTGGAAACCGCAAACAACAACAGCAAGACAATCATCTTCAATCATTCGATTTTCAAACGGATGATAAGGTGAAGACAATTGCCTTCTACAGCCCCATAGACGAGGTCTGAGGTATCGCAGCGAAATGAAAAAATATAGCAGCGCACCTCAAAGCATTGGTGATTCATCACAGTCAGAAACGATGCCGTGAAAAGTAAAAGAAACAATGGTGTGAAAGTTAAAAAAATAAATAAATAAATAAAACAGGCAGGACTATAAAAGAGCTCCTGTGGACTCGCCACCTGCAGGAGGATCAGTGAGGGGCTGGTGCTCTGTGTACTGGGTGCAGCTCTGACTGCCACCCCCCCGACCCAGAAATGGATTAAGGGGAAGAAAATGGATGGATGGATGGATGGACTATAAAAGACTCAAAAGACCACAACAACTGGAGCAGTTCCGACCGTAAAATAAATAATTATTGATAATGTGGCGATTGAAACTCATGATGTCGCCACGAGAGGGCCGAGTGAGAACTGTTCCTGTAGAAGTTCCACCCTCCTCTTTTTATAAGTCTCAGGCACACTCTGCAGGTGTTTTGGAACAGTGGAATTCACCATCACAGGGAAGACTGCTGACCAGACACCTGCTGAATATCCTCATTTTGCATGGCGCTGGAAACAGATAGTAACAGATGGCAAACACATTCTTGAATCTCGAACTATTGATACTTTCACTCCCTTTGAGATGTTCACTCCTTCAAAAGGGTTATAGCTAAAAAAGTTGGATGTTCTCAAAGTGCTGCATCAAAGCACATTCTACGACGCCAGAGCTCGAGGCCGGGCTGAGCGGGCCGACCCCTCTCACTCGGCACATTGTTTCAACCCCTCTCCTCGGACAGGAGACTACGGGCCATTCAGACCAGAACCTCCCACCATGAGATTAGTTTCTTCCCCTCTGCTGTTGGACTCTTGAACACTTCATAACCTGTCCCCCCCGCACTTTATAAAGTCACTTACTGCCCATCATAACGTCACTTTACTGCTGTCACCTTATTGCACTGCTTACAGCATATTGTTTGCACCAAGTGCACTTGTTATTATTTTTTTTACCGTAGACGTGTATGCTGGTTTTTTATTACGCCTTACTCCATTCTTTAACTCTCTTCTTTGACTGTTGCACCAACAGCAAAAGCAATTTCCTGTTCTGTGACTTCCTGTTACATGGTAAAAAAAACCAAAAAAAACCAAACAAAGATTCCGAATAGAACATTGAGAAGAAAAAACCTCAGGAATGGCAACAGTCTTGAATGGGCTTTTCCTGACCATCCTTTCCAAAGTGAGGGGGACCTTAACCAGGACATGGGCGACAAATGTCCATGATCAGTCTATTTCTCTTGTTAAGCCACTTCTGAACTACAAACTATGTCAGAAGAGTTTAACGGCAACGACCTGGTCTGTTACATTGCTTATCTGAATGGAGAACTTTGGATCATTAAGGCTGCATCTCATTTTGAATCCAAGGAGAATTCTCAGAATCTCAGCGAAAAATGCCCAAGACGCGTGGGCGAAGGTCAGATGACACGACAACAAAGTCGATCATCGACCTCAGGCCAGGGCGGTGTCCTGGTGCCACGTGCATTGGTTTGTGATGGACAAACTGTGACTAGCACAGAAGACAAAACTTGCGGAGGAAATTCCAGCTTGCCTTAGTCACCACTGTGATGCATACATCTCTCATTAGTTTCAAATTTTAAGTTGCATTGCACTATCAGAGTTTCACCTGTACATGCTTGTCGGGTTCCAGTATACATGCAGGCTCACCCTCGTCTCAAATATACATGCAGGCCATGTACAGACCTGGAGGTGGCCTTGGCTTCATGCAGACCGTACAGACTGTGCAGATTGTAGTGAGACGAGAGCTTCTGCTGGGCACTGGCACACACCGTTTTAGAGCGCAGCAGCCGTCCCAGCACGCCTGCAATGAAAGCGCATCATCAGGAGAGACAATGAAATGCGAATGACTGCCCTTTTACTGCCTAGTACGACTCCCTCTACATTGTCATTTACACATGTTTAAACAACTAGAATATGGGACAAAAGCTGAGAAGTACATAAAACATGTAGTTTCCTACTAAGAAATTGTTTGCTTTCCCACCACTGACAGTTTATAAACCAGATTGTGTCATATGACCCATTTGTCTGGTTTTCAAGCCATTAAAGGAATAGTTCACCGTTTGTACATACTGACATATGTTCTTACCTTACCTTAGACTAGTTAATACGTATCTGTCTGGTCTTAGTCCGTGCGCTCTGTCATGCAAACGGAGCAAAAACTGGAGCACAACCGCAGCCTCCTCTGTATATTTTGTAGCACCAAAAGGTAGCTCCCGCTAGAAGCTACCAAACTCTTCCAAGTGTTCCCTATTAAATGTATATAGTTACGTGACGTGTTACACTGCAAAGTATAGTAACACAGCAATGTAACAGTCGATTTTCTCAGCGGATAAAACGGGTACTATATTGTGAGGCGTAGTAATCTGAGGAGCGCTACGTCCGCGCACTAACTTCTCTCCGGAGACTTCTCTCTCGCTCACTTCCGTCAATAGAAGCAGCGTGACTTGTAATACACACAGTAGCAGCGAGAGAGAAGTCTCCGGAGAGAAGTTAGTGCGCAGAGAAGTTAGGAGCGCTACGTCCGCGCACTAACTTCTCTCCGGAGACTTCTCTCTCGCTGCTACTGTGTGTACTACAAGTCACGCTGCTTCTATTGACGGAAGTGAGCGAGAGAGAAGTCTCCGGAGAGAAGTTAGTGCGCGGACGTAGCGCACCTCAGATTACTACGCCTCACAATATAGTACCCGTTTTATCCGCTGAGAAAATCGACTGTTACATTTCTGTGTTACTATACTTTGCAGTGTAATCAGAATCAGAATCAGAATCATTTTTATTGCCAACGTAAGTAACGGGAGGTCACAGACTTGGAAATTGCTTTGGCTCAGTGCAACAGTCAAAAAGAGATAATAAAAATAAGAATAAAATACACTTCTAAAGAATAAATTTAAATTTAAAATAGAGTTACAGTTACTATTTACAATATACAAGTGCACATGGTGCACACAATGTAAGGTGACAGCAGTACAGTGAAGTAAAGTGACGTATGATGGGCAGTAAAGTGACTTTATAAAGGGCGGGGGGACAGGTTAAGAAGTGTTCAAGAGTCCAACAGCAGAGGGGAAGAAACTGTTCTTGTGGCGGAAGGTTCTAGTCCTGATGGACCGCAGCCTCCTGCCTGAGGGGAGTGGTTGGAATAGTCCATGTGCAGGGTGAGAGGGGTCGGCTGTGATACGACCAGCCCGGCCTCGAGCTCGGGCGACGTACAGGTCCTGCAGCGATGGAAGGCTGCAGCCGATCACTTCCTCTGCAGAGCGCACAATGCGCTGTAGTCTCTGTTTGTCCCTGACTGTGGCTCCAGCGAACCACACGGTGATGGAGGAGGTGAGGATGGATTCGATGATGGCCGTGTAGAACTGCACCAACATCTGTGCAGGCAGCTTGGCTTTCCTGAGCTGCCGCAGGAAGTACATCCTCTGCTGGGCCTTCTTGATGAGGGAGCTGATGGTCGGCTCCCACTTGAGGTCCTGGGTGATGGTGGTGCCCAGGAAACGGAAGGACTCCACAGAGGTGATGGGGGAGTCCATCACGGAGGGTGGGGGCGGGGGGACAGTGCTCTTCCTGAAGTCCACAATCATCTCCACTGTCTTCTGGGCGTTCAGCTCCAGGTTGTTACCACTGCACCAGGACACCAGCCGGTCCACCTCCCTCCTGTAGGCGGACTCATCGTTGTTGGAGATGAGTCCAATGAGGGTGGTGTCGTCCGCGAACTTGATCAGCTTCACGGAGTCGTGGCTGGAGGTGCAGTGGTTGGTGTACAGGGAGAAGAGCAGGGGAGAAAGAACACAGCCCTGTGGGGCTCCTGTATTTATAATCCGAGAGTCCGAGACATTCTTCCCCAGACGCACTCGCTGCTTCCTGTCCGACAGGAAGTCAGTGATCCACCTGCAGGTGGAATCGGGCACGTTGAGCTGGGAGAGCTTGTCCTGGAGCAGGGATGGCAGGATTGTGTTGAAGGCAGAGCTGAAGTCCACGAACAGGACCCTGGCGTAGGTCCCCGGGGAGTCCAGGTGCTGTAGGATGTGGTGGAGGGCCAGGTTAATGGCGTCGTCTACAGATCTGTTGGCTCTGTAGGCGAACTGCAGGGGGTCCAGGAGGGGGGAGGTGAGGGACTTGAGATGGGAGAGAACCAGGCGTTCAAATGACTTCATGACGACAGACGTAAGTGCTACAGGTCTGTAGTCATTGAGTCCTGTGATCCTGGGCTTCTTCGGGACGGGGACAATGATGGAGGATTTGAAGCAGGCCGGGACATGGCAGGACTGCAGAGAGGTGTTGAAAATGTCCGTGAACACAGGAGTAAGCTCACTGGCGCAGTGTCTCAGAGTGGCCGGAGACACGTGGTCCGGGCCAGGAGCTTTGCGGGGGTGCAGCCTCAGGAAGAGTTGTTTAATCTCTTTAGCGGCTATTGTTAGGCTGGGGGCAGGGCTGATGGGTGGGTCGTTAGAGTAGTGGGGGGTGGGGGAGGGACAGGTGTCAGGGGCAGCATCAAAGCGACTGAAAAATAGGTTCAGATCGTCAGCTAGCTTGTGGTCATCAGCACAGGGGGGGGCTTTGGGTTTGTAGTTGGTGATCTCCCGTAGGCCCCTCCAGACAGAAGCAGTATCGTTGTTACCAAACTGCTCCTGTAGTCGTTCTCTGTGCCGGGACTTGGCTGCTTTCAGTTCTTTCCTGAACTGATATTTAGCTGCTTTGTAGCCGCTGCGGTCCCCCTCCCTGAAAGCAGACTCCTTTGCTTTCCTGAGCTGCTGGAGTTTAGCAGTGAACCAGGGTTTGTCGTTGTTATAGATGACCCTGGTCCTTGTTGGAATGATGCTATCCTCACAGAAGTGGATGTATGACGTCACAGTGTCCGTATATTCATCCAAGCTGTCTGTGGCAGCTCTGAAAAGGTCCCAGTCTGTAGATTCCATGCATGCGCGCAGCTCTTCCACAGCTTCATCAGACCACACTTTGGAGCTCCTCACTGCAGGTTTCGAGAGCTTTAGTCTCTGTCTGTAAGCAGGAACCAGATGTATCATGGAGTGATCTGAGAAGCCGAGGGCTGGCTTGGGAACAGCGCGAAAAGCTCCGCGCACGGTGGTGTAGCAGTGATCCAGAGTGTTCTCCTCTCTGGTCGGGCATTTGATAAACTGTCTGTATTTGGGTAATTCCTGGCTCAAGTTTCCCTTATTAAAATCCCCCAGGATAATAATCAGAGAGTCCGGGTATAAGCGTTCCATACACAGTACTTGCTCTGCGAGTGCGCGCTGAGCCTCGCGCGCGTCCGCGCATGGCTCATATAGTTACGTAACACGTCACGTAACTATATACATTTAATAGGGAACACTTGGAAGAGTTTGGTAGCTTCTAGCGGGAGCTACCTTTTGGTGCTACAAAATATACAGAGGAGGCTGCGGTTGTGCTCCAGTTTTTGCTCCGTTTGCATGACAGAGCGCACGGACTAAGACCAGACAGGTACGTATTAACTAGTCTAAGGTAAGGTAAGAACATATGTCAGTATGTACAAACGGTGAACTATTCCTTTAATGACCAGTGAAAAATCTACAGATACATGAGACCCATTAGATTTAATTAGTTCATGTTGGAAAGAATAAGAGTGTGACATTGCCGAATCCTGCCATCTATTTTCTTCCCCTTAATCCATTTCTGGGTTTGAAGGTGGCAGTCAGAGCTGCAACCAGTACACAGTCCCTCAGGCGCTTATTTTTTTAACCCAAGCTCACCAGGTGTATACGGAGGGTTTTCAATGTTGTTGTCGGGGCAGCCATTTGTGGAGCCATCCAGGAAGTTGGAGGGTTCGTTCATGTCCTGTCAGAGATCACAGGGTCAGATGTCTCACGGATGACAGCTAAAGATGCAGTATATAAGGTGCATTCTGTGTGGAGGCCTCACAATCCATATGCCGTCAAAGGGGACGAGTTTGTAGAAGCGCTGGAGGTTCTCAAACCACCACTCATGCGTGGCCTCGTCTGAGAAGTCTGGGTACGCAGTCAGACCGGGCCATACCTGCAATTAACGTTTGATTTATTTAAGGACATTAGTAGCTGCATTAAAAAGAGGTTTTCACCAGATTTAGCACCATGCTTCCTTCCACCCGTCTTTGACATTACAATCATGTACTTGCATAATAACACAGTTCAAATTAAAAGAGCAGTTTACTAAAATACATACAGTTCAACAAGGTGCGATACATTTACAGTTAGAAGCGATATGTAAAGTATGACACCATTTTCAAACAAAATAACTAATAATGGCTATCAGATGTACCCAACGAGGATATCATCCGATAGCCATTATACCCAATGGTACAGTAACTGAACGTAAGATAATAATCTGGTTGTCTGGCAGCCATCAGGTGGTACCCACGAGGGAATCATCTGATGGCCAAATACCAGTCTGGTACTGGTAATGCGAGCAGGAAAATGTTGTATTGGCATTGCTTCAATAATAGTGTTACATAATGTGCCCCCGATGTCGATGACATTATTTGGTTACCTTTCCAATCAGCGTATTTCCGTCAGCATCTCTGATGAACACGCCCCTCTTCAGGCCTTCATCAAACGCCCAATAAGCTCCTGGGGGCTGCGTGCTGCTGATGCCTGGGTCCTACACACAATTAGAAACTATACGGTTAAGGTTTTGACATTGGAATGTTGTTGAAGTTATCATTTTAATGAATATGTGGCAGAAATATATTTGGAGCCAAAAGTGAATTACAACCATTTCAGCACACAGCGAGTCTGGACGAAGGGGGTTTGTATGTTAATCTGTTTTGTCTGGAGGAAGCAGGCTTTGTAAAATAACCCTCCTGTTCAAATGTAAATAGTACTGTAATAGTGTGATACAGAACGTCCTTTGTTCTGTTGGTTTTTCCATTCCTATATGCATATGAAGGTGTGTCTTGTTGACCAAAAAGGAGCTCAGAGCTGCTCTGAAAGAGGCCGAGCTCTCATGTGTTCTGTCTCCATCGGGACACTCCTACTTGGAAATGGCAACCAAGCAAAAAGAACACCTGAACTATGTGTGTGCGATTTTGTCCAGGTTTGACTGTAGTTTAAAATCAGCATAAAGTTTTCACTTTAAGCTTGAAGACAGAACCAAATACAATATTTGAAAAGCACATTGCTGAGATTCCCTCATTAAGAACAGACGTGGAATCGTTCATTTCTACTTTTGTAAACCAACTCTATACATTTTCATCAGGGCAGTGGCAATCAGAGAACCTGATTTTCACACAGGCTCAATAGCAGCAGCAGCTCAGAATAGAATCACTGAGATTTAGCATTCTTAAAAACAGGTTTCCTTTGAAGCTTTGCTTTTGCTCTACGTAACAAAACAATGAAACATGAGCAGAGGGCCTGCTTTCGGCATTACAATGGATAAAACAAGCAAGTCGCCAATATTTCTAATACAAGAGGTCTTAAATGCAACTGCAGGCCTTTGCCAAGTCGGATCTAGTTTAAGTGTTTAGCATAAATACAGTAGAAATTGTTCCATTCTGCCTAATTGACTTCATAATGTACCAGGATGGGAATGCAGTGCTGAGTGTGTATGTGTATTTTTGTTGTTGTACCAGGATGGGGACGTAGTGCTGGTTGTGTGCGTGGAGGTCCTTCACCATGTCGGTCAGCGTGTCGAAATGCACCGGGTCATGAGTGAAGTCCAGGAAGCGGTCCATGTAGTCAATGTCATTCCACTGGACGTCCTAAAGATGCAAAATACAAACTGCTCAAAGAAGAAATTAAGGGAACACCTAACACCTCCTGAAACTCAATGAATGATAATTTGGTTAGAATTCTGTATCGATTAAAAAATGGAATGCAAATAGAACAAATAAAGAGTGCTAAAGAGTCATTTTCCTTCCTTGTTGACCCCTTCCTGGTGTGGAGATAAAAGTCTAGTGCCACATGGTGGACAGTGTATCCAGAAGGTATCTGAGGAGGAAGTCCAAGCGTTGATTCTGATATTTTTTAAATTCTGACTTATCCCATCCATCCATCCATCCATTTTCTACCCTTTAATCCATTTCTGGGTCAGGGGGGTGACAGTCAGAGATGCCACCCAAGTCTCATAGCACCAGCCCCTCACTGACCCTCTGCAGGTGGTGAGTCCACAGGAGGAAGGCTGCTCTCTGAGTGTGAGCATAGCCTTGATCTTTCAGTGGGGGCTTTGGGCAAAGTGGGGTTAAGTGTCTTGCCCAAGGACACAACGACAGCAGTCATCAGTGGGAGTCGGTGGAGAAGGTGCAGAGGTGGGAATTGAACCCACGACCTTCTGGCCTTAAGGCCAATGCTCTACCAACTGAGCTACTGTCGCCCCCTGACTTATTCCATCCATGTATAACTTTGACCAAACGATCCATTCATTGATTTTTAGGACGTATTGCAAGTGAAGACCTTTCCCACTGTGGGATGAATAGTGTCATGCGAAGTCATTGAGGCACCAACCTGGGGTATGCCGTAGCTCCTCATGCCCTTGACCAACTCCCAGGTGGCATTGCTGGTGCCATAACCCCAGCGGCACAGATGGAACCCCAGGGCCCAGTACGCTGGCATGGCTGGGCGGCCTGCAGAGGACACACCAACAAACACATTTTAAGATTAGTGGTTTAAACAGTCCCCCCGCCAAGCGTCACTGGCCCCCCTCCTGTGTCTCACTGCCTCCGAGACAAATTCTCCTGAGGAGGTGTCCAGGAAGTATCCCAAATGGATGCCCAAGCACCCCAACTGGCTCTCAAAAAGCAGCAGCTCTACCCCTTAATTCTCCCACTATCTAAGGAAGGGTGCCTTCTGCAGAGAAAACTTGAGTAGACCTTTTGTGCAAAAATATATGTATATATTTTATAATATGGATTATAATATAAGATGTATAATCCAGACACTAGTAATACCCCCTTCTAAGGGTAGGAATGGAAATTAACCTTCTTCTAGATTTAGAGGAAGGCTTACAGTTTTAAAGAATCAAAAGCCTCACCGACCACCTCCAGATACTGCTGCACCACGGAGGCCGGCTCTGGGCCCAGGAACAGGTAAAAGTCCAGCACTCCGCCAATGGTCCTCCAGGTGACCGCGGGCGCTGGCTGCAGCACCACATCTGAGAACCCAAAACAGAAAGGGATGAACGAAAAAAAACACTAGGAAAGGTTCATTTTATTCAACGTTTGCCATTCTAGAATTTAAGTATGATGACAGGTGAACTACAGACTTGTGCACTACATATGTAGAGACTTGGAATTTTAAGTGTTTATAAAATGACTAATTCCTTACCATGCTGACAAACCATCATTCCCATTGGCGTTCTAATAAAGAGAATTTAATATTAAGTAGCCTAACGATCAAGCCTCTCTAGGCCATACAGCTATAAAACAGTGTCATATAGTAGATAAAGGCGGCTGCTCTGTTGCACTGACCCATGGCGTTGGAGTTGAGCAGAAAGAACCCATGAGCGAGGCCTCCTTCCTCCAGGCCAAGGTAGAAAGGGTGCACACCATACAGGTTAGTTTTCTCCTGTCATAAACACGCAGGTATGAGGTTACTTTAGGGAGACATCTTTTATTGCACAAACAGGAGCTAAAGAAGTGTCTTTCTGGTACATGTTAGACCTTTCTGACTGAGAAAGGCCCCTAGTTTTGAGGACTTGGCCCGTGCTCCCCTCCTGTATGCAGGCGTGCGTCGATTAGTAAGTAAGTAAGTAGTAGTAAGTTTTTATTTATATACCGCCTTTTCACTGCAGATCTGAGTCTCAAAGCGGTTTACAATTGTTAATTTTGGGCATTTGTCTCTCACTCCACACAGAGATGGGAGTGAGGTCGCCAGTACAGGAGGCGCATGCCAGAACTATTGGACATATTTTTAGTGGTAGGGGAAACCGGAGTACCCGGAGGAAACCTACGCAGACACGGGGAGAACATGCAAACTCCACTCAGAAAGGCCCTGGTCCGACCGGGATTCGAACCCAGGACCTTCTTGCTGAGAGGCGAGAGTGCTATCCACTCAGCCACCGTGCCACTCAGCCACCGCGCCTCCGATTACCATAGGAGGGACGTCTCTGGCCCACATGGTCAGCGTGTTCCACTGAATGTTGTGTTGGAAGGCGTCGCGGTGCTCTCCCAGGCCGTAGATGTGGCCAGAGGGCAGGCTGCTGGACATCTGCAGGAACTGGTCAGCGAAGAAGAGCGGGGCCACACTGCTGTTCAGGCTGGACACCGGAGAGCACAGATACAGTGGCTCATTAAAAACAGTTATTTTATGTACAAATGTAGCAGCGTTGGTGGTGGATGAGCTCTGTTTGAGTCAACAAAGTGTTTTCCAGCATCTGATCCACAAATGTATGCTTCTTATCATTTGTAGCCAGTTTATCATTTGTACACACGTTTTAAAGCAGGATTTTTTTTTATTTTTTTTTTTAAGTATGTACTTTCTAGGCTTAAAATAGTTGTATTGGGAGAGCAAAGATTCCTTTTATGAAAAAGAAAGGTGTATTATGATTCAGAATAATGAAAAACACAACCGGTACTGGACAGTACATTACGTTTATCATTGTTTTGATAATAGAAATACAAGTATGTCTATACTATTATTACTACAGTTACTAAGTTTTGATCAAAATATCCTGGAGAAAAAACACATTTAAAGTTGGCAATGACACAATTGCATTAAGCACTCTTCTCAGTGTGTGTGGGACATGAATCCAACAGATCACTCACTCTGACCCTGGTAACTCACAGATTAATACAATACAATTTATTGTTGTATAGCCCTAAATCACCACAGCAGTCATCGCAGAGGACTTAACAAAACCATTGAAAACACCAACACAGATCAGAGAATCAACAGTTAAGACACAAAAAATATCACTCATTCTGACCCTGGTCACTCACAGAAGCGTTCCAGTGGAAGCCCGCCTCACAACGACTCCAAACGGCTCCTTGGTCAGCTCCAGCACATATTGCGGACTAAGGGCCTTCTCAGTGACTGTGGGCACCTCTATAGGCACCTCGTACCTGGGGCTGGAGGGGTCAGTGATCTGGGGGAATGAGAATGGGATAAGAAGCAGACAGGACCAAATATTACATTTAATATTGTAGCTTTTTGGTAATTGGTGATTATCATCACTGTGTATAGGGTGAGCGAATAAACTACTCTTGTAGCCACTGCTGCCCTGGGGCATACAGAGAAACAGAGGCAACCATTATGTGCCATCTGTCCCTCAGACCTCCAATGTGGGTGAAGTGCCTTGCCTAGGGACACAGCTCCAGTTTGGCACTTTACATCACAGAACTAACCAGGCTCTGACTTGATTAGCTTCAGGTCTTTACATGCAGGCCACAGGTTTAAAACCACAAACTAAGATTTGATTTAGATTTTTATGGCCTGCAAAAGCATTCATACAGCTAATGCTGTTCATTAAATTGTCTTTTTAAACATTTATGATAACTGATGAACGTTCACACCTTTCCCTAGTTATTAAATAGAGACCACCGGTGGGTAAATACAGCTGTTCTGTGAGGGCTTCAGAGGTGGCCAGAGTGTATTGGTCACTAAACAGCATCATAGAGGCTCAGGAGCCCAACACAGAGGTCCGGAAGAAAGTTGTACACAAAGATTTGAACATCTCACGATCCATCATTCTGAAATGGTAAGATCACAGTGGTGCCACACTCTTGCTAAGACAAAGCCGCTTACCTAAACTAACAGATCAAACAAGCAGAGCATTGGTCAGAGAGGCAACCAAGTGTCCCAAGATGACTGCTGCAAAGTACTGCCACTGAGCTGGGGGAATCTGGACAGTCAGACTCTACAAAAATCTGGCCTTTATAGACGAGTAGCAAGAAGACAGACAATATTGAAAAGGAGGCCACAAGAAATCCTGTTTGAAGTTTGCTAGAAGTCATACGGGGGACACAGGCCCGTTTTTTTTTTTTTCATCCTTTAAAAATGACAATTGTGTATAATTTTACTTTTGCTTCAATTGTCAGTTACTTTCAGAATAAAAAACAAAATCTAAATCAAATCTTTATGCCTATGGTTGTAAACTTAACAAAATGTGCTAAAGTTCCAAGCTGTGTCAATATTTTGCAAGGCACTGCTGCAAGTCTTGCATGCAGATTAGATTCTCAAGGGATATCTCAGACATCAACCCTCTCACTACACGCATATATTTTTGGATATTGTTTTGGATACAAGTCCCACATGAGCGTCTCATTGTATAATTGTAATATTTCTGGACTCCGTTTAAGTGGTTTCAAATACTGTATTAATTCTTAAAATGGGGCCAAGCAATCGGTAAGGGATCACAAGCTCGATGTGATTAAGTGTTTATGGAGGTACGCTTTGCATCATCAGAGAGAAACCCAGCAACTGTTCACCAGTGTACTTTGTAGTCATCAATATGCATGTATATTAAAGTGATTGTCAGAAAAAAAGAGGGGTACTTGATTTGAAAAAAACAACCCAAGCTCCCTCCCCCTTCCTTTCTGATTAGTCTACACCTACGTTTCCGTAACACATTTAAATGTTAAATCAGAAAATACATTATACATATACATTATTAATACACATGAGGTTTTCAGAATTATTTGTTAACGTTTTCATGACAAAAATAATGTTTTAAAGCACAATAAAGCGATCGCGGCAAACCCGGAAGTAGCTATTATTATTAATTGAACATTATTCGGACACATCTGCAGAGGATCTGATTATGGATATAGGTTCAGTATATAAATGATTATGGATTAGAGCTGCAACTAACGATTATTTTGTAATCGATTAATCTATCGATTAATCGAGTAATCGCTTGGCTGTGAATTTTGTAGAAAAAATGTATTTTTTCATCACAAAAAAGCTAAAGTGGCAACACTCGAGCACGTATTGATGGCGTAAACTTAAAGTAAATGTTTGTAACAGGCTCTTTGTGCTAATTCTGCTATCTGATTGGATGAGACAGACAGATATTCATGAAATTATAAAAACAAAGTCGGTTTTAATCAAAAATACTACATTTTCATGTCATTTTTTCTCTGTTTGAGTCCGTGTGAACCAGAAAACGATTAATCGATTACTAAAATAGTTGTCGACCATTTCAATAATCGATTAGTTGTTTCAGCCCTATTATGGATATAGGTTCAGTATATAAATGGGTAACTCAGCGAGGATTTTCAGAATTCTTTGTTCAGTTTTCATGTAGTTCCAGAGCCTAATAGAGGCTTGATTCGGAGGCTCTGTGAAAACAAACAACTGAGCACGAGCAGCTACGAGCATGAGCGCCGATGATTGACAGCCTTGGCATCACTTGATTGGTTAACCTCGACGGCACCGTGGATTCTGAACTATAGCTAAGAGAAGGGAAGGCAGGACTTACCCGTAATATTAGAATTAATAAAATGACTCATTTTATATCATTTTTTAAGGCTAGGAGGTCAATTTAATACAATTCTTAAATGTTTTAATTCATTTAGAGTTCTAGACTATCACTTAAATGTAAATGGATAACCAGCCCCAATAAAACATAGTTAACAATTGCTTCGAATAATCTGCAGTTTTAAGATTTACAAATAGCAATTTTATTCAATTTTTTTATATTGAGCTTATAGAACCAGAATAAATTGTTATTTACATATCACAAACACACACACACACACAGATTCATAAATGCAAGAGTCTAAATTAGCTTCTGTGCGAGTGCGTACCTTGATGTGCAGCCGCGTGTCGGTCTCCTCCCACACCTGTAGCTGGAGCGTCATGATGTCAGAGGGGTAGTAGGTCTGCTGCCGCCTCTCCAGAGTACCCGTCTGTCCCAGGGGCGTAGACTGCAAGGACATCAGGGAGTACGAGGGGTAGTCCTGGGGGTAGAAGCACCAGGGTACCCCGTTCCGTCCCACAGCCTGGGGGACGAAGCAACAGTTCCGGGCCTCGCACATGGCTTGCGTGACCACGGCACCTCTCTCCGGAAAACAATCAAACCTACACAAACATTGAGGAAGAAATGTCTAGACCACCTTTAAAACCAGGTTCCTCGTCGACAAGAGACCTGGAGTTTTTAGCTCCATCCATGGCAATATCTGCCACAAAGGGCTCGGCCCTCCTGTCCATATGCTCCGCTTTCAAACTCATACCTTGACAAATCCTCAGACTAGATCCTAAACCGACCACTAGAACAAATGAACGGTGAAAACAAACTCAAAATCATGTTCCACACTTTGTCATGTATTAGAAAACATGTTATTTATTGCATACTTTGAAAACTGGCCGAGTGGGGATGGTACCCTTCCTTTCACTTTTCTGTCTAAAGATGGGACAGCCAAATATGCACGCATGAGAAAACTGTTTAAAGAAAAACGTTTTAGAGCCGGGGATTAGTGACATGGTTGTCATTTTTAACGCAAAAAATAAGTGCTTTACTGATATTTGTCACATTTGACCACAGTGGTTTGTCAGAAGAATAAGTCTGATGTAATGAAGGCCACGGATAGAACCTCGGGCTTAAATGGACTCAACACGCTTGGGGGACAGTCATATCCATGATGAGTTATTCACCATGTGTATAACCATGTATAATAATCATCACATGGCCATTGTTTTAAAGAGCACAAATTAATTCTTTTAGGTCAAAAGACATTCATTTGATTTTTTTTTTTTAAACCTTCAACAAAGTGACCAACTATAGGTAATGTTGGTCATATGAGCCTTCACAATTTCTAAATCTGCTGAAACTCAAATAAAAAGTACCTGTTCTTTAGTTGTCAAAGTTGTCCATTATAATACAATTTCCTTGTATATTATTGTATCAGTCTGAACTGTTGATTTGGGTCGACTCTGCATTTGAACACGGGTCTAAAAACACTGGTTTTCAGGGTGAAAATTGATGTAGATCCATAATTTTGGTAGATATAAAAAAAGGGATTAAATCGTCACAATGACTCCTATTTATTGTACAAAAAAAATTCTAGAGGCAATACACGACACTGAAGCCTAAGCAAGTGTCAGTGTAACTCCAACAGAACTTTTTGATACAAGCATGGATGGAGCAAAACACAACTCTAGGTCAATTTTATCAGTAAAAAAAAAGAAAAAAGAAAAGGAACAAAAGTCAAACCTCCAAGCCTCAGGGACCGCAGCACACGCCCCCTTGGGTGGAATCGGGAGAGTGGAGTTGGTAGTGGCACGGTCCTTAGCGGGGGCAGGGGCCGGGTGTGGAAGGGTGGAGGAGGACGACAGAAGCCAGTACCGTGTCCCCAGGAGCCAGCCCCCCAACAGCAGCAGCAGCAGAGCCCCGATCACCAGCAGGCTCTTTGTGACAGAGCACCGAGGGCTCCAGCGCATCAGCGGAGTCTCCTCAGCCTCCGGGACCTACGGGACAAACACAATTTATATGGGCTCATGTCGACTACGCAGACTCCATGGGTTTTTAGCAATAGATTTCAATCAGACCTTGCCCCTATTCTCCTCTTCTCCCTCTTCCTGTTTAAATGCAATGAGGGATACAGACATCACTGCCTACAGCTCAATGTGATAGTAAAACAGACTGCTCTGAGACTTCTCCATGATTACAGATGTATGACAAAACACAAGTACAGAACTTTTAAGAAAATGTCATGAGGAAAGGGGATTTACTTTGGATGCTATGCTCAAACAAAGTTCTGTGTTATTACAGGGAGAAATGCAGTGAAGTGAAGGCACAATGAAGGCCAACTATCAATGAGGCAACTAACCACGGCACAGCTTTTGGAAATATTATTTTGTTCTTTATCTGAACAAGCAAATCCAATAATTGGATAGAGCCAAAAATATCATTCATAAGAAAAATAACAGCCGTTTTAGAGCCAAAAACTACAGACATGGATTTTATGACGTCATTATACATTTCTGTGTGGTTGGAAAGTTTAAGATGGCACTCACAGTGGTCTCTTCATTGACTGGGGGATGCTGGTCGCTGAAGGCCCCTCCAGAGAACACCACCTGCTCTGGGTCCAGACGCTTGTATGACACCATCCTCCTATGGGACAGAGACCAGAGTCACCTCCTCCATTACTGTCCAATGTTGTGAGGGATCACAAAATGATCGCAAATAGTTGTTTTTATGTTGACTAGTATTGTGGACAAATGAGAGATCACTCTAGGGAAGGGATCTCTCATTTGTCCACAATACTAATAAATCAGTATATTGAACGTTCCTGTTCAATATAC